CTACTGATTTTCTTGCTTCTGCTCTGATGTTTCAATTTGTAAAAGCACAGTTTGCAGTCCGAGCTCTGGCCTTCTCTCGGGGGCTCTTGTGCGATGTGGGGCTGAAATCGAGGGGCTAGTTTCTTTTTCACTTGGCGCAGTCTCCTTCTTCCTCTTAGCTGCATCTTCCGCAGCAGGGACTTTCCTCAGACACGTGCTCAGGACGCAGAACAGGGCCTGGAGCAGCAGCTGGAACCAGTGAGCGGCACCTGCGGACTGCTCAGTCTTGGCCTCCTTGGGGACAGCTTTGTTGAAAGGCCCATCTCATTCTTTCCTATTGTGGTAGCATATAGTACAGCATGAAGCTTGCCATTTTAACGGTATGCTTCAGTGGCATTACGCACCTCCACCATGTGTGTAGCCGTCACCACAACCTATTTCCGAAGCCTTTCCATCGTTCAGAAAAGATAGAGTGACCAGTTAAGCAGAAACTCCCTACCGTCCTCCTCGACCCCTCTGACACAATTCTACTTCCCAACTCTATGCCACTCTAGGCATCTTATAAAAGCGGGACCGTGTCTTATCTTTCCTTTTGTGTCTGGCTTTACTTACCATATTTTCAAGAGTCGTTCTTTTTTATGCCTAAATAATATTTCATTGTATAGAAATATGATTGACCCATCTGTTGGTGCGCATTTGGGTTGTTTCTGTCACTTTGTGTGTTGGCCCTGTTGGTGGAAGTATAAAGTTGGTATTGTAGAATTGGGAGGAAAGTAGAAAGTTGGCAGCTAGCATTGTGGCAGTGTGACAGCTCTTTAAAAAGTGTTTACAGCTCCCAGTAAGTATTGTAGCAGACTGGGACCAACAAACAGAGTGGCTCCTGGGGTTTTGGAGTCAGGTGTACAGCTTTATTCACTCCAGTGGACTTGGCCTCAGATCTTCACCAAAGATCTGAGGCCTAACTGTCAGGGAGCAGGATCTTTATAGAATTTACAACTGAGGAGGAGGTATAAGAGCAGAGCATTTGCCATTAGCTGATTGGACAGAAAGTTACACTGAATTTCATCCTCTTTGCATATAACTAAGATGAATTAGAGGTTACACGATTGGCCAAGAAAGTTCCATTGAATTCCAGCTTCTTAGCACACAGTGGACACAGGGAGAAGTGGTCGCATCAGTTCGGTGGAAAAACAGAAATTGAACAGAGAACAAAGGCTTACTGAAGGACGGGGAGAGGGATGCCGAAGGGGGAGGGCACTCCTGACTGAGAGCAAGTGCTTTTCTCTGCTTTAGCACAAGCCATGGTGTGACATTCGGGTGTCAGAAGGGATCCTTAGGGGACAGCTGCGGTACCACTGACAGCTTTCTGGCTGTGCAGTGATGAGGCCTTCAAGACTGATCACTGAGGTGAGCAGCCTGAAGGATGGAAGGGCGGTGGGCGGCGGTCTGGTGGTGGGACAGAACGTAGAGCCTGCGGGCAGTGAATGCAACAGTCCAGACGAGAGACGATGAACGCACGAAACAGCATGGAGAGGAAAGGTCAGGTGTGAAGGAAATAAAGCAGCCAAGACTGACTTAAGGCTTCAACCTGTTTTACCTTCTCACCTCCACTGTGTGCAGACTGAGGAGCACATGTCCTCGGGAGGGGTGTCCCGGGAGGGCAGGTCTCCTGCTGCTCGCAGGTGGTACATCCAGGGAGGTTTCCCACTGGGTTCTTGCACAAGGCAGAGCATCAGCTCTTGAGAGCTTCCAAACACACCCGAGCTTTCAAGCCTCGTGAGAACCAGACCTGAACCTGCAGTCAGGTGAACTGAGGCTGAGCAGCAGGTGTGTTGACTGTCCCCTCTGCAGCCAGGGAGCAGAAACCACCGTCCTTTCTAGCGCATGGTGCTGAGGAGCACCTTCCAGACCATGAGCGCACAGTGCCGTGATTGGCTGTGGTCGCAAAGCCATCACAATCAGAGACCACCCACAGACCCGAGTGACAAGTACACAGCACAAAGGATGGATTCTATTAGAAAGTGCTGAGAGTATTCAGCAGGGAAAACTGATGGGTAAAATCCAGAAAGGCTCACCTGAGCTCAGATCTAAGGTGAAACTGGGGGCCGAGTGAAATGGCTGGGGACAGTTCCAGCTCTTACCAGGGCTGCGACAAGGAAGAGGGACCCCAGAGTGACGATCTGTGTTTGTCCGTGTGGCCAGGAGCCAGACAGTGGAAGGCTGCCCACCATATTTGAAGAATTCAAGACTCACTATTGACAGCAACGGGAAGCCAGACACACATTGTAAGGTAGGAGTGACAGGATTAGACTGTAAATATTGAGGGACATTGGGACCACGTGGGGTGCCACTGTGGAGTGCTATCAGCAGGCTAGGACAGCAACTGGGGCACTGCACTGTGGTTAGATTGAAGAGGTAGAGGAGACATCGCGGACAGGATGGGGAAACAACCATCGCGGCAGGCAGCTGCGTGAACTTCTTCCAGGTTTCTGTCTTGTCTCACAGGATAAACAGGACACCTATAAAAACAAGTTCCTATTCCTGGTTAGACTTGTCCTCATTTTCAACTTAGACATCCTTCCGTGTCCTGTAATTTCGAGGTGGGAAGCACAGGAGGAAGGAGTTCTGGGATGGTCAGGAACAGGGATGACTGAAGTGGTATATGCCAGGGCCCTCCAAGGCCGGCCTTTCTGTTGCCAAGTGTGTATGTGTGGGTGTACATGTGTGTGTTAATATCCATGGCTGCTCCTCACCTCCTTTTTGCAGAGTTAAAATGCTCTGATGAGAACCTATTTGTCAAAACAAAATGTCATTGCTGAGAACACGATTTTACATGCACCAATGGCTACCACAAAAATGTATTTTTTTCACAAATGGAGGAATGCAGGTTTGCTTCATGAGTGCCCATTAAAATGCCAGGCTGTCTCCATGCAGGTGAGGGCGGGCGTTTCCTCCACGGGTTAGCATGGTGCGAAAGACGGGGAGGCATTAATGGAGAGTCTGTGTAACCACAGCTTGTACGTTAGAACAATTTCAAGTTCTAGGTTCTGTGCAATTAAAAAAGTAGCTAGGGTTGATGCTGACTTAAATAACAGGGCAAGGATGTTCTAAGGAGCGTATATAAGGAAGTGGATTGTAGTAATTGTTTAAGAGAATGGGCCAAGCAATCCTCCAAGGGGCAGGGTGCAACTCACTGAGCCTAAGTGGAGGGACACGGCAGCCGGTGAAATCTGCAAGGTGAGGGCTGGGGATATAGCTCAGCAGCTCGGCGTCTACCTGGCAAGTGTGAGGTTGAGAGTTTGATTTCTGGTACCAAACAAAGAAATCTGCAAGGTGAATGGAGCAGACGGTATGCGAATTCCTCTGGGAAACAGGGCAAAAGCCACATACTCTGAGCTCCCATTTTTCACTGCAGCAGTGCACTTCCTGGAGCCCTGCAGTCCCTTCACTGGGCTTTGCAATGCTCTTGGTAAGAGCCCACGAACACACAGAGGCTTTTAAAAGGCTTCATAAGAGTGAACTGATGTTTCTGCAGATGCCTGTGTGATGAGGGTGAAATCACAGATTATCAGCAGGTGGCCCACAGTGCCTCTAGGATTGCAGTTTGTCTTTCTGCTTATTCACGAGAACCCTACATTCTTTTCTTCCCACGCTGGACTTGAATCTTGGAGCAAGCTGGCTGAGAAAGATGCTTTTCTGTGAGGAAGACAGCTATCGCAAGTGGAATTCTTCCTTCTGAAGTACAGGGTCTGAGTTCCTTTGTCTACTACTGGTCATCAGGGCTAACGGAAACAGAGACTGCCTGGGCATTTGACACAGGTGCAGGCCAGGTGTAGGTATCAGGGAACTCTAGCTTGAAAGCGTTCGGATTAGAGAATGTTACACATTGACCAATCAGTCAGTCCAAATTTCAAGTACGGCAATGGTACGGGCACAAAGCACAACTTGCATCAACAGACCACAGCGAAGGTGGTGGGAGCGGCTCCGACGGCTCTGCCGTGTCATCTGGGCACTACCTTGCTGCATTCGCCCGTGCTGCCTCCTTGTTGCTAGCTCTGAAGAAGCAAAGTGCCACGAGCCCCACAACCACCAGGAAATGAATTCTTCCCACAGCCCGAGGAAGCCTGTGACTATCCCTTCCCCATGTGGCCGCCAGGTGAGCCTTAGCTCCAGCTGACGTCCCGCCGGTGGTCTCCGAGAACCCTGCAACTCCACGTCCACACAATAGGTGTGTCTCATGTTCAGCTGCTACTTTTTTGACTATTTGTCTATAACAATAAATAGTCAGATTTGGTACCAGAAGGAGGGTACTGTGGTCTCAAATACCTAAACGTGTGGGATGGGCTTTGGGACTGAGGTGAGGAGTACCGCGAAGAAAGAAAAGCAGGTTGAGAACATGTAGCTCTTGACAATGTATAATTTCATAGAAACAAGAGTACTCACTGCTGAGGACAGAGAAATATGAGAACATAGGCCTGGATTAGAACAGCTAACATGAGTACAATCTGCACTCAAAGTAAGATTAAGATGTGCTCAGGTAAAGAAGCCTAAATAAAGTACTATTATTTTTTTAAAAAATCTTGGTCACAATTAAAATGATGCTTAAGGACAAGCGAGGGAGTGGACGCGATCAAGCTGTGCAGCAGCCTGCCAGGCCTTCGTAGCAGGCACTGGTTCATCTGTTCAGCTGGGAGGCTCAAGTTTGAAAGAGGGATGGCTCTTCGGTAGATTAACAGCACCCAGCAACACAAAGTGTCTTTACTTATCAACAAAACTAAAATTTGAAAATGAGATGTCCTCTTTGAAGCCATGGCAGGCAGCCCAGCATTTGTATAAAGATATTTTGCTAATATTTCCAACCCCTTGAAAGGACCGTGCACTGAAGATAGCACATACATGGTTTCAGTGTGGTACACACAGGACATCTCTACAGTGCAGACAAAGGAGCGAATGAGGCCTTTGATGTCACACACACGTTAGGGCTACACACATAGGACACTGAAATCACAGAACACGGAGAATTAGTTTTCGATGCATTTGTCATTTTTATTTTGCTATGCAGAAACATCATTCACCACGGGGTGTAATGCAGTCGACAGTGTAATGGAGAATATATCTTTCTGAAGGCTATTTATAACTAAACACTAAATAGTTTTAATTACAGTGGAAAGTCTGTACAGTTTAAGGCTTGGCTCTGAACTAGATTGTAAATATGGACCAGATTTGGAAATAAAACTCTTTTTTCAAGTAAAAAGAAGAAAAAAATCAATGAAAAAAATACCAAGAAAAAGAAACAAAGAAAGAACACAGCAGCAGAAGCTCACTGGGTTTTCTGGGAGTGAAAGTTCATAATATTGTAAACTAACAAAAACACAGGTTTTCTCTCCCAAACGATGACAATTTACACATTTGGGACTTGTTAGGGAGCTCTGGGAAGCTTTCCAGATGGAACGCAGACCAAAGCGAACAACAAGGAAGAAATCACATTAATATGCTAAAATCAGCACTACCTTTTAACGGATTAAATTAGATGCACAAAGCAAGATTGTAAGCATTAAATATTTCCAGAGGGTCAGAGAGTCGTTACTGTTCATGGGTGAGAATAATAAAACCAGATGAAACAAGTACGAGATTCAAGTTGTTGACTGAAAAGACTTGGTTATTGGCACATCTAATCTGGGATAAACTGGACACACCAGACCTAGACAGCTTCTAGCATTGTAGGGTAATCTCCATGTATCTGTAAACAAAAGATCTGTCGCCTAAGAAGTTGCAATTTTGTTGAGACTTTAATAATAATAAACTATGAAAGGCATGAACTGTTGATGGGTTACATGAGACCACTGTTTATATTGTTGGTTGTGAACGTGCAGGTACAGCTGAAAACTGAGACGTTTTGTGAAAAGTAGAAATGCTGCTCGTTTGTAATTTTATCCTTGCTTCATGCAATATCAGTTTAGTGATGCTGATTCCGATTGCTTTATTATGGGACGATCTCTCTGCCAGTGTCGTAACGGTCAAGGTCAGTTCTTCTGGATTGGAATTTTCCACGGACAGATACAAGTCAGTTGGGTCAGAAGAGGCGACTCCTTAGAGGCTCTGGTTTTCCTAATGGATTGCAAATACTGGATTCATGTGCAAGTTAAGTTATTCCTGCAGAAAAGAGATTGGATTAGTTATTCACTTCAAAACATCCGAGAATTGTGCTCGGTCAAGGTACAGGAGAGTCTCTCAAGGGTTAAAGTGCTCTTTCTGACGAGATACCTTAACATTGGAGCTTATGTCACTGTGTGTGATATGCTTTTTCTTAAATAGCTGCATCACCCAAGTGGCCGAAGCTCAATGAAGAACATACTTTTGCTTCCCATTTTCCCAATGTATTACTCATTGCATACAAGTGACTTTAAAATTTCCCTTTTCTCTAAGAGATGCTACTCATCAGCCTAAAGGCTTCTGAGCCAGTGTTAGAGCACCGATTTATTAAGTCTCTGCAGTGCTTTATCCGACAAGCACATGTGCAGGAAGCTCAACTGTTGCATTCCGCATTCAAAGCCCTCTGAGGGGTGCTCACACCCCGCATCCCTCCAGGGCAGTGAGTACGCATGACAGGTCCGTGCACACGTGCAGGATGTGGTGTGCTCAGGAAGCAGCCACACAACAACTGGCAAGGCACGTGCTTTCTTGAGGAAAGCAGGACACGCAGCTGTGTATTTGTCTCTCCTGAGAGACAACAGTACAAGTCATTTCACAGAATGCAGGAAACAGACGACATCCAAAAAGAAAGCGCGTGCTCGGGTTTTAAAAAAACCAGACCCACAAAGCATAAGCAGGCTGAGCCCCAACACAGCTGAAGAGCAAGTTTCCAAGGGAGGGTGTTCCTCTCAAAAGGAAAAAGGGATCATTTCATTTCCCTTTACGTGGAACACACACATTGTACCTCTCAGAACAAAACTGGTTTGGTTCTGATTAGGCCACATGGTGAGTGAAATTAAATTTGACAGTTCAAATCTGGATAATGAAAACAGCAAGGGTGCAGGTTAGAAGACAACAGCGGGGAGACCACTCAAGCAGTGACTCTGCTTTTCCTTTCTCCTCTAACTGACAGTAGATGCACAACAGCCGCAAGTTGGACCCTCCCAATCTGAGACGAACCGGTACCCAGTTCTCCATCCCCGTGGTAGCCAGCCCCACAAACGCCAGTGAGGGAAGAAAGGAAAGAAGGGGTCAGGCGAAGGATGACAGGGAACTGGCCCATGCCACATGCTAGCCAGGCAAGCCTAGCGACCGGAGCCACCTCTTACCTCCGTCAATCCTCTCCATCTTCCGGTGTGATCTCTGTCTCTTTATGGACCACTACTTTGGTCACTGACATGTCAGGGTGCTGCTCTTTGGCCTCTTTAATTGCCTGAGCCAGAGCCTATCCCCAGGAAATCACAGGAGGGCAAAAACAAGAAGGAGGTGGACATGCATGAGCAGCAGCAAGGTGTAGACTTATGAGCTAAATCTCTATCCACCATTTACACACGGGGGACAATGATTACAAAAGGAATCAAGAATCACAAACTGGCAAGTTAATTCAGAAAATTTCTTGGAATACATGCTGGGCCACATGAAGAGCAGTGGGAGCTGCGGGGCCAACATGTTTGTCTCTGTCTCTCTGCCCCGGGAATGTACCGCCTTGTAACACTACCTGGTCATGGTCAATGTCAGCATCTCCTGTGATGACTATTCTTTTCTCGATCCTGGTCTCCGAAATGCCTCCTTTCACAGTCTGAAGGGAACAAGGAGAAGCGATGTGAATCTATTCATGGGCAGGAACAATCACTGTCCCGTCTGGGGAATGGAAGAAATGGTGATGGTTCTATGTGGCATCTGGGCTCTTTCATCCAGAGCTGAGATAGAGGTCTACGGAGTTACTGAACAAATTGAATTTCAGAAGCGAGGACACGGAGGAGCCTTTTGGGCTTGGCAGCCAGGGTTTTCGGAAGACCTGTGTTGTGCCCAGCAGCACAGCGAGCAATGAGCAAGGGAGATGAGCTTCCTCAGCCGAAGTCAGCACAGAATGGGGCGAGAGCACTGTGAATACAGAAGCTGGGAATCTCCCTCTGCAGCTAGCCTGGCACCCCGATAGTAAGTCACTATTTGTTCACACAGCCCAATCTGTCGGCAGCTCCGCACGGTGCTTCCCCCACCCCCCAAGCTCGCACCCCAGGCTCGCCCACTTACTTTGGTGATGTGTGTGGTAGTGGTGGTGCTGGTGGTCTCCGAAGTGATCGTCTGAGCACTCATCAGCACGCCTGGCTCCAGATCAGCCCCGGGATCGACCTACGCAAGCAGAGGCACTCAGGCCCGTGTTTACAGAGCCCCTTCTTTGGCAGCCTGCCATGCTTGTTATTTAGAGCACCCCAGTGTCTGAGACGCAGTCAAGCCCACCATAGCTGTGGGCACTGCCTCTGAGGACACAGTGAACTACACGCTGAAAATATCCGGGGAAAATATGAGTTGTTAATGAGTCAGTGCAAACTTTTTACTTCCCATTAATCTCTAAGGAATAGACGATGGCAGCCATCCACGGGGCATTTACCCTGTATTGTGAGGTGATTTAAAGTAACACAGGAGGATGGGCACAGGTTATAAGCAAGTGCTATGCTGGTTTATCCCGGAGATCTGAGCACCCACAGGTTTTGGTCATCCAGGAGGGTGCTGGAATGCCGATCTCACAGACGAGGAGGGAAGCGGCTCCCATGGCACTGCTCCCTGCAGTCGGAATCTGCATAAGAGCCTAGGAGAGCCCAGTTAATCATCCTCGCGTTAACGTGAGACACTCAAGAAGTCTGAGCAGTGGACGGCATGGACACACGCCCTAGCCGTGGTCACAGAACTGGGTTCTGAGGCTTTTTCTACGTTCTAAGATATGTTAAGGTCTGCTCCATGGTCAGGAATACAACTACAATTCTTGCATTACTGATAGACATGGTCTGGCTGTGGGATCCTTAAGTCTCACGCATCAAATATTTGTAGGCTTAGACATGTGTCTAAATGCACAAAGCCACAGAAGGGAAGAAACCTTGAAGTGCCCAGGCTCCGCCTGCATGGATGGTCTTACCTGTGAGGATTCGTACGTGATGGTTTTCGTTTCTGTGTGAACGATTGGCACTTCCTTGGTAGAAGCGTCTAGTTTCCCGCCCCCTGGTGAAAGACTGCCGAAACTGACAGTTTCCGTCTTCACGGTTGACGACTGCGCCAAAGAGAAATGGGTAGATGGGGTTACAATTTGGACAAACAGTCTCGGGTTTTCCCTCTCTTCTTGGGTGTGCTTTGGTATTTTAGTCCTTGGTCCAAGCACAGGTTAATATGAAACAAGGGTTTAGATATTATACTGGGAATCAGTTGGATAATGAGGACCACAACACATATATCCCAATCCCCTCAAATTCCACCATATTTGTAAAATGGACTGCTCCAGGTAAAGAAAACATTTTGAAGAAAAAGTTGTAAAAAATCACTGTCTTCATGTCCCAGTCTTCAATCTCATACACTGGTCTTAGGGTTAAAACTTTAAGTAAGCCTTGTAATAATTTAGAAAGATGGAACAAGTATTGACATTAGTGCCCCCCCCATGTTCCTCAGGAATCTAATACAGGAGAATGAAAAATAACTTCCTGGCACGTGGAACCTGGGCAAAGGTGACTTTGGTCCTTCTGGATGAGCACACTGATGAGAAATACATCTATCCAACTTCTTAACATCTTGGTCAGCCACCCCCCCCTTCGGTTTACTGTCCAGTGGTGATGATTTCAATGATAAAAACCACTTCCTGAAGCAGCATGCTGTGAACAATCGACAGCGAGGTCTGCCTGTGGCTGGGAACCATCTTGCAGTCACCCAACTGTGCTGCAGGCGGGAAGGAAGAGGAAAAACAAACTACACACAGGAAGGGCGCACGGCGACACCTCACTGTACCTTCACGCTGACCTCATTTCAGGGCACCATTTATCAGCATTCTTCTAGTGCCAGAACAGCATTAAGTACTAGTTACCTCAAAATGAGCCTTTTGTTCTGAAGTTTCAGAAATGGGGATGGCTGCTCCTGGTCCCTCCTCTGGCTTGTGGGAGGCAGTGGCTGCCTCTTCCTGTCCTAGGACAGGTTTATCAGCCTCTTTCTCTCTCTCTTCTTTTGCCACCTCAGCCAGAGCAGAGCCCTCCTTCCCCTTTGCGCCAGAAGCTTCGCGGGGAGAGGGCTGTGCTGCAGTCTCCACATCATCACCCCCCGCTGTGTGAGGAGCATCCCCGCTCGCATGCACATTCACCACGCGCCGCTCCTCCACCAACACGGTCTCCTGCACCAGCTTATCCGTGCTGAGCTGCGGGTGCTGCGGGGTCTTCTCCACCTCTGCTTCGCTGGACTCGGTCTTGGTTTCCACCTTCTGTAAGAGAAAAGAGTGTGGTGTCAGAGTGGCTCTCCATAAACCTACAGTCAAAACAAAAGCAGGAACAAAAAACTAAAGCCACCATTCTGCATCAAGGGCTCACAGTCAGAAGGTGACAGGAAATTAGCTCCACTGCCCCGGGCAGAACTTGCTGCGCGCCAGCTGCGATGCACACTGCGACCCAAGCTGCTACTTTAAAACACCCACAAAAGCCACACACCAAAAACCAGGCAAAAGCATCGAGCATGTTCACATCAGTTTTGGCTGCTTTCTTACATGTAAGAGATGGGATCTAACGCTTCTGCAAATTAAATGCTATTAAATTCTCTCAACGCGATTGCTTTTTGAATATGTGAAGTATATTCTTGAACTGGAGCCAAAGGTACCCAACAGACATGCTCAGCGGGCACAAAGGACAATCAGGGAAACCTGTGCGACGCTGAAGGCAAAGCGACTTGAAACACACACAGCGCATGGACCAAGGAGGTGGAGGAGAGCAAGGCAAACGTGCACATTCAGAAACCAGGGACGGAAGCAAAGGGCCACCTGCACCCAGCTCTGCGAAGTGGAAGTCACCCCGCCTATGAATTCTGTAGGCTTGCGCGCTGACTCTAGTAAACTGAAGATCTCAGAGCCATCCATGAGCTTTTCTCCAGAAGACTGCTTGGTCTGAGTGGAGAGAGAGACGGAGAGTCAAGCACGCGCGAGACACACACGGGGCAGGCACACGTTCCCCGCTTGTTAGACAAATCGTAGGTACGGGGAAGGGAGGAGGAGAAATGAAGGGATCCAAGGTACAGACTTTGGAAACAGAAAAGAATGGGAACTAAAACAGCCAACGGGGGTGACCATGAGCTCTCGGTGGGTGAAGCAGAGTTATTAGGATTGAGGGAGGCGCTGGTTTAAGCAGATCGTTTCTTTCCCCTTCCTCGCAAGCCACAGCAGCACTATCACATCCTGGGAACGCGCACAGCTGGAAACGAAACGGAAAAGTGTCAAGATGCTGATTTGGGGCTGCGGTACTGATTTAACCGTGGAAAAAAATCAAAAAGCTGGGCTGGCTGCTCTCAACATAAAGCCAAGCAGCAAGAGGAACGGAGAGGCTCAGGGTGGAAGGGACTGCCTTGGAAAATGTCATGCTGCAAACTTAAACTGTGACCGAATGACAGCCACTGGTTACCACCACTCGGGACGCGGACGACTCGGTGACATAATGAGCAGTAGCAACGGTGACGCCCGGCTCCTGGGAATATCTCCACTCCGACAGGCTCTTTCTCCGGGGACCAAAGAGTCCCACTTTTAAGACCTCACTGTCTGGAGCTTGCTCTGCTTTACCGAACCGTACGCTTTCAGGGCGAGGGTGTGCAGCCACTTCATCCACCAGCTTGGGTGTCTTCTTGAGGTCATCTTCTGGGCTCTGCAGACGAGACTCGGCTTCCTTGATGGGCGTCAGGGATTCTGACAACTTCCGCTTTGGTGTCTGGACCTCAGGTCCTCTCTTAGATTTCTCATCAGCCAGGGCTTGCAGAACCTCGAACTCCGCCAGGATGGGAAGGACCTTCCCTGGCTCCGACACGCCCCTCTCCATCGTCTGAAGCGCCTCCAGCGGGGGAGGCTGGGCTGCCCTCTCCCCCTCTTTCCCCTTCCCTGTCATGGTAACAATTCTTCCCGACACGGTGTCGTAGGACTTTCCTAGCGTGTACAGTTTCTGTCTGTTCTCTTCTTTCAGCTGCATCTCTCGGGCCAAGTCATCCAGACTATGCATTTCAACCATGCCAGACTTCAGCAGGTCGGCCGGGAGGTCACCTGTTCTACTGCTCACGGTCACCACCTTGTAAGTCACAATCTTTCTCGAATCACCATCAACTACCTCAGTGGGTATTTTGTCTACAATAACCCAGTCCTCTGTGCCCTATATTTGAAATACAAAAGCTAAGTTAGAAATTCTGGTGGTATCTCATTTCTAAAATATGAATCCTTTAAGGAAGAGGACATAAAACGAATGAAGACGTGCCAAGTGCATGTACCAATACCCCGCAGTGCATGTAATCATTGTGTCCTGCAAACATGTACTAACTAAAATTTTTTAAAAGTTAGGACAAGAACATCAGGGCAAGAGGTCTGTGATGAGTCTGCACAGGACTGCTGGTTTTCTCTAATCACTATGGCCACAGTCTCTCTTCATCTGAAATTTACTAACTATGACCTTCAGTGTAAGTACTTTCTGCAGGGTAGAGTTGCAACTTCAGATGCAGATGCAGATGTTTCTTTAAATTGGAACATCTTTGGGTGGTAAATTTTGCAAGGACTGTCCTTGATCTCATGGTATACTTCTTATTAGTTTGTATTTCAAGGTTAGATAGCGTTATTGAAGTTGTACAAGTTATTGAGCTTTAGGTGTGTGGACCCAAAAGAATAGTTTCCATGTTAAGTGTAATCCTGTGCTTCATATACCAGGGTTTCCTACAAAGAATTTGCCACTGTTCTACAGACTTCTGTACATGCCATTTTCTGTGTCTGCAAACTGCACTTCTGTATACAGGGAAGCAAATCAGTGGTGGTACTTATTACCCAATAAATACTGAGTGTGCCTGAGTTCAAGGCATCCTAATGAAATACTTATCTGTAGGACACTATTGTATCCTTTTATAAATAAGCCTTAGTGGTTGGTACAGTGTTCTGATCTTAACTGCAACTGAAGTTCACTGTCTCGGTAGTTTGTCTTCCATCTTCCTTTGTATTAGTTCCAACAAGATAGAAGAAGTAAAATTTAAAGAAACTTGTGCATTTAGGGAAACCTAAGATGACGTGACGGTAACAGGGTAGACAGGGCAGAGAAATCAAACCGGGAGCAGGGGAACGCCTTCATTTTCATTTTAAACTAGGATATTTTCTATTTGCATATTGATCACAGCCTGAAAACGTGAATCGTGATATAAGTGTACCTGAAGAAAATGATTACAGACGGATCTACATGTGGGTGTGGACTAAATAAATAAAAAAAATAACCTCTAGTGCCGATGGGACAGTTTTCTGGAAAATTATTTGATGAGAAGTAGCCACAGACCCAGCAGAGTCTCCTTCTTGTATTTTCTTTGTAACACTCGGCTATTGAGAAAACCAGGACAAATTCAGAACTCTCAAAATCAATCAAGGTCATCTAAATTAGCAGCACTCTATGGGTAACACAGGTAGTAAACTGCTTCAGGAAGATTATTATTAGAAAGCACAATCATAGTGCTGTCATCGTGACATACAGACATAATCATCTAGAAGTCTTAAAGAAATGATATGCAACTAAAATACCAAAATTCTTTTCTCCCTTCCCCAGAATCTAAGCAAAAATGATATACCTACCTTAGTTTTAAACCAGATACATTTCAAAAGGAAAAATAAAAACTAAAGACATTTTCATACTGCACAACTTGGAGAGAATAGCTCCTTCTGGGAAATCCTGTAAGTTTGTTTTTTACCTGAGACTCAAGGAATGCAGAACTTCCTTGCTGCAAAAATATAACTTTTTCAGAAATCTCTCTTTCTTCTTTGGTCTGTTTGAATAAAGGGGGTTGGGTTGGGGAAGAGGAGGTAGACAGTTTCCAAAAAGGCGAGTTAGGCAGAGAGTCCTTTCACTGTAATACATGTATATATCTCATATACCTCTATATATGCACATACGTGTACATATGTATACATTCATGCCATTCATCAAACTCTTCTTGAAGAAATAAATTACTGGTTACTAACTTGAAATATGGTCTGATACCATCTCAAAATTTAATTATTCCAAAGACTAATGGGTTATTTTCTGAAACTTGGGTGCTTATGAGCCAAATATTTTTTATTTCTACAAATGCAGAACACACAAGAGTGATGTAAAGGATTCCTACATTTGAACACCGTTTACGTCACAGTTACCTATGAGACCATAAAAGTGAATATTAACAGAAAATGTGCAGACTCTTATAAAAATTTAAGTTAGGAATAAATTTTCATTCTATTTCTGATATTTGGTTGTGTTCTCCATTCACATGCTTCCTGTTACAGGTAGTAAAATCCACACTAATTTCACTAGTTGGTAATTTGAATAAACCCCAGTTATATTAGATTGATTTCTTTGCTGTTCCACAAATAAAATATATTCAAGAGTTGAATTTCTGTTTTGTTTTTTTGTTTGCTGGTGGTACTGGCGACTGAAGCCAGGGCCTTCACAGTTAGCTAAATCTCCAGCCCTTTTTTAAAAATTTGAGACAAGGTCTCCATAAATTGCGAAGGTGCTCAGTGAATTTGTGATCCTCCTGCCTCAGCCTCTAAGAGTGCTAAGACTATAGGTGAGTCCTTCCATGCTCTGCTATGAGTAATTTTTAAAAGTTAAATTCACAATATCTTGGTGGAAAATTGAGTATATCAGGTGATACTGTAACTTATAAAATTAGAAACAGTGAGGTAAGTATTTGATGTTGTGAATTGGGTTTTTTAACTTTTTAATTATTTTTTTATTCCTTTCCTTTCCATTGAGTCAGCACAATTCAAGGGAGTAACAGAGTAACTACTGAACCCAGCTCTGCACAAATGTATAACTCCATAGAACAGGGACAGAAAGAGTATTTTGGAAAATTAGTCTAAAAAATCATTATGGAAAGTTTAAAGTTTCTGGAAGAACATGGGGCTCTGTAAGTATATTATAAACAATGTAATTTTATGGGGACTATTGAACATTCCAACAATCCGTGAGTACCACAGTGAATCAATTGCCTGCGGGAGATACCAGGGGGTGCATACAACATTCTCTTCCTGCCGGGCGTGGTGGCACACACCTGCAACCCCAGCACTCGGGAGGCTGAGGCAGGAGGATCATTGCGAGTTTGAGACCAGCCTGGGCTACAAAGTGAGCTCAAGGCCAGCCTGAACTGCATAGTGAGACCCTGTCTCAAAAAAGACCAAAAAAAAAAAAAAAAAACAAAAACAAAAACAAAAAAACCCCCAAAAAACAAAAACCAAAAAACATTCTCTTCCCGCAGGACCTGCTGGCAAAGTCTGACAATACCAATCTCAGATGACCCTTCCTAACGACAGCAATCATTTTTAGAGGAGAAAAATCCTATTCTGCTGTGGTTTGGAAGATCTTGGAAAAGATAAAATGTGTCATGGAGAATCATTAAATGTGGGTCTAAAAAACCTTTCAATCATAGCTTCTTTTTCAAACTGAAATGAAAAACAGGAAGAGAAGGTCAAAATTATAGGTGCTCTTCAGAATAACATTGCAGGGGCTCTAATTATAATCCCTGAGCTAAATAATATTCCTCAAATGAAAACTTAAGAAAATAAAAGCTCAGCAGCGAAACAGTGGTTTTTAGCATACGCTGCTGTCTGAAATAGACTAATTTTAAAACTATCTGTTTCACCACTGGAAATGTCAACATAGGCTATTGTGTACGTGTAAACAAAAACAGGTAGTGTAAATGGACAGACCTCAGAACGTAATTCTGGAGGTGGTCAACCTCTCCACCCAGCACTTCGGCTACTAGAGAAGTGAGGAGGAGCAAATAAAGAAGATCTGATAATCTTAAATGCATTCTATTAGAGTTTAGAACACAGTCAGATGTATATTCTTCCGACCATCTTATGGCTAATTAAACATTCATCTCTGTCTTGGACTTGAGAAATGACGTCCTAGGCTGGCATACAGAATTCATAAAACTGTCTTTTACTCTTGGGTGCTCAAAGGTTTCTACAAATAGATTTTGGGGACTAGGTAAATTTGAAAATATGGAATCTGTGAATAATAGGCATCTCGCTCCATAATGAACATACCTGAAAAATCTGCCACTTGCGTGGGAAAGAGGACGGCACGGGCACTGCACGTGTATGAGTGGACATTGCATTTGGATTGAGGCTTGGAAAGCTTTTAGGAACCAAGAAGCCACTAAGTAATAAACCTTCCATACGGACTGTGCCCAGTGGCATCATGCAAAGCCATCACGGGACACAGCCGTCACAGATGCACACCTCCCAGGTCCCACACAGGCCATTTTCTACCCGTTTCACAGTTGGTGGCCCAGCCTGGATGTAGCTTTGTCTGTTTCCCACTGTTAACGGGGACTTGATGTTATTTGGGCTGTGGGGCATCCTTGGTACTTATCTGCTTTTAACTCAGAGACCTGAAACTTGATACCACTGGCAACCAAATGCTCACTGTATATAGTAGACACACAGAATTCTCAGAATAGAATCATAACTATGTCTAAAACTCAAATTTTCTCCTGTTCCTAAATAGGGAGTATTTTATAGAAATAACAGTTACTTAGGACTCAACCACCATAGATTAAACAAACAAACAAAGAATAGGGTCACATTAAGAATTAGAGGTCATTACATTTTTTTTTTTCAAAATGTTTAATCACTGAGACTTACCAAAAAAGCAAACTCCACTAAGTTTGGGTATCACTAAATCTAAGTTTCCTCTGGGTCTGACAAAATACTATTACTTTATTTGAGATATCAATTAAAATATTAAGTTAAATATTTCCACTAGAAATAGCTCGGCTTTTTAAGATAAATAAATGGGCTGATTACTGTTGCACTAAAGTGTACTTCTGGGTGTGTCTGGCTGGGTCATGGAAGTGTGACCTTTCCTTGTCCCGTTCTCATGGGCACTGTTCCCTGCTCTGCCTCCCAGCCACTGCACACTGGAGCAGCTTTGCTCTCCACGTCCTCTGCCATGATGTTCCTGCCTTGGAGCCACCCAACCATGGACTGCATCCCCTGAAACCAAGAGCCATATAGACCTTTGCTCCTTTAGGTTGCTGGAGCTGGGTCTTGTGTCCCAGTGATGAGACAGCTGACCAATACGGTAATTTACTCTGAAAACTGCCTCCCCGCAAAATATGCTTTGTATATGTTTAGGGAGGACAAAATGATTTACTATGCTTTTCACAAAATAAATAACAGAAGCCATGATTGTAATACAAAAGTTGGCAGTAATTTCTATCATAAGAACCTTCTGATTTGTTCTTGGGGCTATCAACAGGGCCGTTGATTTTGTTTTTGCACTAACACAGAAAAGGCATTCATATCAAGGCAAAGTCCTATATAGTCAAAATATCATCTCCTTAAATCATTAACACTCTTGGGCTCCTCCAACATTATTCTCCAAGATTCACCATGTAATCAGAAGTTATAAAAATTAGTAGTCTAATGGCTGTGACTTTTGAAGTCCCCTTGTTTATTAGCACCTTCTCTTAAACACTCTATTACCTAAATTCTCATCCCAAGTAGGGCTGCAGGAGCCGTAAGTAATGCCATGGGAAGAGATGCTTGGCTCTTTTTGTTTGTATTGCTTAAGGTGCTGTTTACTTTGTGTATTTCTGAATTAACCAGGTATCTGATATTTTTACAGAGAGAGCATTATTTCCAAAAGACACAACAGAAATAGTGTGAACCAAACTTGTCCAATTATGGTAGAATTTATGACGGCACAACTGATCAGTGGTATTTTTGGTGATGTAGAGATTGTTATATTTAAATCACACAAGACATGAAATTTTTCTCACTTGAAACTCAAGTGATTTGAATGGAACTGGTGTCTAATGGAACAGGAACACGTGGGTAATAGTACTTCTCATTTATTCTGCACAAAAGAGCCTCTGCAAAGTAATTCAAATGGATATGTGCTTCTCCCTCTTGCTGGGACCGGAACCATGAATGCAGTGACAGAGGATCTTGGCCACTTCTGATAAGCAGCTTTCAAAGGACGTTTAGAAAATGATCAACAATGGATGTAATTTGATTCTTATTTTCACTCCAAGGACTTCAGCACTGCATAAAGATCACTGTTTAAAGGCTTTTTCTCTCATAACAGGCCTAAGTTTTAATTTTCCACCCTGTCTCAGCTTCTTGAACAAATACCTCACAATGAAGGGATCTTGATATGAAGGAGGTTAATCAATACAATGCTTAAAAGATGCACTTTCCAAAACAACTTCTTTTGAGAGCAAGACAAAGCAAGACTATATGTAATGGTAGACTGTCAGACTAGCGCTGCAGCAATTTGGAGTCCCACACAATGACAGCCATGAAGTCACACTGGCAGGATGCTCCCTGTGGCGGAATATCTAAAGGCAGATTTCCAGTACTGAAAAATCCCACCGAAAAAGAAATTTATGTCCCCTAGCTTCCTCATTAAAAAAAATCAAATGAAACACCTAGATATAAGTGAAAATCAAACAAAACACTATTTTACCTGTAAAATAGTGTAATCTACTAAATCAGACATTATTTTTACTGGTAAATAGTGTGATCTAGTGTACTGTGTCAGGGTAAAATATGTCACGAAACGTTAACTACGTCAGGCCAACAAGAGACGATCCCCACAGGTTTCATCTTGCGGCTGTCCGAGACATGAATTCATGTCTGAGTTCTGCGGGCAGTCCTCAGTGCAGAGGGGCGTGCGTTCATACAGAGTGGTGGACTCCCCGAGCTAGCATCTCAGAGTTCCCAGCTGCGACACCTGGGTTTAGGGTCAGAAGCAGCTCTCAGCACTGATCTGCCTGTGGTCTCCTGGTCCACTCCTCCTCAACCACCCCCACACTGCACTCCGCAGCTTTGCCTTGGTGCACTGCGCATCTCTCACATCTACAACAGCAAGACGCGAAGCTCTCTACCCAGAAGCTTGCCAAACTCTTGCCTGGATCCAAGGCCTGTGGAGAGACCCCAGTGAACAGGCGACGATTCCAACCCAAGCGACGCCCGCACACTGACCTCCTCAGGCACAAGGGGCTCGATCATGGGTGCGTCCTCCTGCCGGGCCGCCAGCCGCACCGGGGAGGTAGAAAGCCTCTTCTCCCACTCATTCGTTACGGCCGTCTCTGTGGAGGTTTCTAAAAATGTTCTTTTCAGCTCACTAATGTTGGTCTGATGTTTCATCAGTTCATCTTGAGTTTTGTCTAGCTCCTATGTTTGGAACATAAAGAATCCAACAGTCAGCTTTTGCATTTGTTTGGCTTTCACTTTTTTTTTTTTTTTCCAAAAAAACACATCAATCTCATTAGTAGTTAAAAGAAAACAGAATTTTGATCGGGGCTCATGAACGACCACAAACACTCTGGTGAAAATGTGCTATTTCCAGGGAAAAGAGAAAGAAAAAAAGTCTAGTTTCACACAGGCATACAAATCAAAAGGATTTTAAAAGGCAAACTGTAAGAAGAGTAGCTCACGTGTACTGAGAGAGAATGAAACTAAATGCACCGAGGAAAAGGAATCTACATCTAAGAGAGGAGAGATCACAGGAAGCGGCAAGGGCCCCGTCGGTAACGGTGGGCACACAGTTCATGCATTGCGGAACGAGGCACAGGGATGCCACGAAGGAACACAGCACACAGGCATGCACTGGTGTGTACCAATACCAACCTCTAACATAAGATTACTATGTTTGACATACACATTTTCACCCTTTATTCGCTTAACCAGACTATTCTGAAAAAAGTGGAGAAGAAAGGGAAAGGTGAGGGCCCCCGTCATCAGGGGATCGGACGCCATCCTACACACCACGCCGCGGGCGCGGTGCCAGCGACAGAGCATGCCGAGTGGGCCGGACACCGCAGACAAGGACTCGTCACGCACTGGGTTGGGATTTTGTTCTAGGGTAATTGTCTACCTGTGCCTTGAGCTCCGCATCTTCCTCCTGGTCCGACTGCCGGCATCGGGAAAGAGGGGGAAATAACGTCTCACCGTGAGGTTCATGCTAGGATGAGGGAACGCTGGTCTCTAGCATCACATCCTCTCACACACAGGTTATGAAGCCTCACAGGGTCAGAGGGGTAAAGGGCCCCTTGCTCAGTGGGTCCCTGGTGCAGGCCTGGGAAGGTGGCCTGGAGGGCTGGCCAGGCTGACCTTAATGAGCACCAGCAAAGGCTCCGTGGAGTACAACCTCTGAGAATGGTTACCTCTACACCACAGTGAACGGTGCCCTCGTGATGAACAAATCGCCACAAAAGTCCTGTGGGCTCAGCTGTGACGGCCCCAGGGTGCGGGCCAAGGGCCTGAGCCTCGAAGAGTTGCACACAGGTGTGCCTACATTTTAAAATTTCTTCAGAAAGTCAACTTTTTTGAACCTATACACCTGACAAATTTCAGAGGGGAGAAGACCGATGTGGTTTAAGTAAGGAAGACTGAAAAAAGAAGGCAGGAATCAACAACTGCCCATGACACTGTCATTTCTTAAAAAATGAGAACAGGGCAGTTTTTGAGTTTTAAAAAGATACTCACATTAAAAAAAACCTCCCTAAGCCACGAGAGTAATCTCAGTTTTCTAAGTTTAAGAACCTATCTAACCTGTGCACCAGTATCTAAGTGGCAGCAAGCAGGTGAGTAGCCCACGGCTCGCACCCCAGTGCAGGGAAGCTGCGTTCCTCACTGTGACTGTAGCCCAGGGCCTGGGCTGCAGCACCTGTACTCCCCGTGGGGACCTGCAGTGACATCAGTCTACCCGGTCTCAGCCTCCTCATCTGCCGACGGGGACAAGGACACCTGCTCTGCACACCCTATGCAACATCACTGCTGCGCTGGCCCCTGGAGGAAGGGGACATACACACAGGGCTATAGGACACCAACACCCTAAGCGCTGGCGCAGAGCAAATTCTGTGTGTGTGTGTGGTTTCCCAACTCTTGCACTGAATTTTAGGGCTTCACAATCACCTCAGTTGCATCTCTTGGTTTGCATGCTGTGAACATTATGTAACAAATTTTAAATGGCTATAGAAATTTCAAGGATTATTATTAAAATCTTTGTTACTTCTAGCACATATTAGGATCCGGATAACATTTATTGAACATATGATCCTGTAGCTCCACATAATGAATGCTTACAAAATCAGGGTGTAGTGTGGCATAGAAAATTATTAACTTGTGACAGATTTATTTATGACTGCTTAAAAGAATCTGGATAGTGGTTTTACACTATTTTACTTTTAAAATTATTATTTTAATGCTGGCATTTCTTAATAGGAAAGAAACCTAATGAAACATCACGATGCAGTATTTTTTTCTGAAGACATTTTCAGTGAAGCAATGTATGATAACACAGAACTTTTAGTTCCTCACTATTCAACTGTAAAATATGGTTATGATGGGAAGATGTAGAAAATAGCATACAATCTAGAGTTTATCACAAAGTAAAAGCTAAATTTGGCCAGCACAGTGGTAAATAAACATCTCGACTTCTACTACTATATATAAATATTCATTTTTACAGAAATTTTCATCAGATACTAGTAGGGTAGATTTTAAACATGACAACATAAGACACACATTTAATGTGTCTTAATGAATAAAGCAGAAATGCTTGCGCAGTATCTCCCTCATCCAATGTGCTTGCACTTTTTCAGTAAAGTACAAATAGCAGTTTGCTGATTTTCTTCTCCTTAGAGAATTCATTTATGAGTGACTTAGGCATTAGCTAAAGGCTCTCAAAGGAGTTAAGAGAGGTATCATTTCAGCAAGTATTATTTGACCATTTGGGACTGGGTCTCACCCATAAGCTAACTAAAGGGACACCTTCACTGCATCACGGTTTTGTACACAAACAGCCTCTCCTTTGAACGGCGTGATCTTTTTTAAACAGTAGCATCAGGCTGTGCAGGTGATTCTCAAAATGTGAGCCCCCAGGTGAACAGAGTCAGGATCACCAGAGAGCTTCCCAGAAACAGACATTCCCAAGCCCCGTCCAACCCTTCTGCATGAGACATGCAGGGCTGTGGCCCTTCCAGAGTCTGACACGAGCCAGAGCTCCGGGACCAAGGGGCCAGGCAGTGCAAGCACATCTAATGCCTGCTGTGAAATTCAGGGCGGTCTCCACTGCAGCAGCTCATGTGTGCTACTCCAACACAGGGTTGCCCACAAGGCACTGTTCCCAGGCCACTAGGAGTCAGGTTCAGTATACCCACCTCGGTGGCGGTAGTCTCCCCATCGGCTGCGGTGTCCGTGCGCTCACTGTCTGTCTGTTGACCACACAAGTGATCAGGGTCCAGGAGGAAGGCAGAGACAGAAAACAAACCCATCTGGTCAGACAGGGAGTGCATGCGGAGCATTCATTCTCTGTCTGTGGGATCTGTAGCACAACCTCCCTCTGGGAATGCATGTTCTAGCCAAGCAAGGGGAGAACCGGAGCTGGCGTGGGCCACAGAGCCCCTCCCAGGAGCACCTGAGGGGCGCAAGGCCTGCGGGGCTGCAGGGAGGGACTGACTGTATGGCCACCCCCGGCTGCCTGGACGCCACTCTGTCATACCTCTCCCACCCGCTCCCTGATCCCCAAGGAAGCTCATTGAACAAAGCCTAACATGAATGAGATTGAGGTTGGTCCATGGTTTCCCTTCTAGTCACATTTGAGAGGTAAAAGAAAATGTAAATTTCCATGAAAGGCTACTGTAACAGTCACTGGACTTTCAGCCCCTCATTTATCTGGATAATTTGCATCCATTGATGGCCACCAGGCTGTCTGCATTACTTGTTAATGACAAAAAGCACATGCCAGTGACTCACAGACATATGTTGTACATATGGGAAAGGCCAACTCAGTTTTCAAGCAGCACGGCCAGGAGGGAGCTTCGAAGACTGAATGCTGTTTATCTTGCCCCACCCTCGGGGAAGAAGAGGGTGTCAAAGGGTGTATTCAAACCTCGTGATGCAAAAATACCACACACATGGTGCAAATAATAGTGACAGGAAAGAAAAAGTAGGAGAGAGGGAGAGAGAGGGAGAGAGACAGACAGACAGAGAGAATGACATCTACTTAGAAACAAATAAAACAAAGCACAGCATTTGACAGAGCCTAGAATTTCAGGGGAGAATTAGAATAACAATTTCATGATTTAAAAAAAACCTGTTTCAAAGGGGTTTATGATTTTGAAAAACTATTTCCTCTTGAGTAAGACTATGGACACTGACACTGAAATATAATCTAAATGCCCTAAATATTAGCTGACTTTCCCTCTACAATGTCAGCTAGTTATTAGTATGATTCCCTTGATCAAAGATTTGTGAAATATATATATATATATAATTTTTTTTTCCAGTACTTGGGGTAGAACTCATGGCCTTAGCACTAAGCTATGTCCCAAGACCTTTTTTATGTTTTAATTTTGAGACAGGGTCTCAGTTATTGAATTGCTCAAGCTGAGCTCAAACTTGCGTCCTCCTGCCTCAGCTTTCCAGAATGTTAGGATTACAGCCATGTGCCACCACACCCAACTTCCTGATTAATATTTTGGAAACAAAGATCAGAACTGAAAGCTCTGTAGTTGTCTATCTGTCTCTTAAAATTATGGCCCTCTCTCAAGAACAAGGAGGCGGCATCAAGAACAGGGCTGTCTCTACTGACCTCAGTTCCTGGCATGATCAAAAGCTCTGATTTCATAGATTTCTAGAGGAGGAATCCGAACACAGCTCGGTATGTGTGCCCCAGAGGATGGCACTCTGGCCCTCTAGTGACCCAGAGGAAGTAGAGACATTTTCGGTAGATTTGTCAGGCAGTGCGGCTGATAGATTTCTGTGACCTGACCATCTTGATGAGCAATGGGGCAGGAGCGGCTATTGGTTTTCCTGTGTGGCAGTCACTGCCGTGGTACTGGCACAGCTTTGCTGCCTGGCACTGCCCAGACGGCCAGGAGAGAGGGCGCTACTGCTCCCGAGTAGAGGGTGACTCCAGGACCCCAGGCTTTCCAGAAGAGCTGTGATCCTGCTTAGTGTCCCCATTAGTTCTACCAAAGACACCCAAGGCTCTTGAAGGTTACAGCTCTGTGTAGATGATCTCCCTTATGGTTTTAAAATTTACATCAGTACTTTTCCAACATCTTAGCACTAGAGTTTAGCTGTAGATAAGAGGGAAGGAAAATGGAGAAAATCACAGCTTGAAGTACACTGGGTAATGGATACTAAATGTTTTCTAGAAGGCCCGATGTATATAAAGCTAAAAGTTGCATATACTATGATAATCTATTGATATCAAAAATATTTTACAATATTATGACTACGTAATTTTCTAGGAATACACAAACATCTTTGGCTATATGCAGACTCCCTCAAAAGCTGGACATGGTAGCATGCACCTGAAATCCAAGTTACTGGGGAGGCTGAGGCAGGAGGATTATGAGTTCAAGGTCAGCTTGGGCAACAAAGAGAGATCTCATCTCAAAAATAAAAGTCATCTCTAGACTTCCTGAATTTCCTACATAACATCCAGCCAGTCAGTGAGTGTATTGCCTGATGAATAGTCAAGAAGTGCATAGTCAAAAACTGAATAAAGCAGCTTTGACAGTGACTGTTATTTATATAAAGTACTATGACTATCCCAAACTGCAAAGCAAAGAGCATGCCATAGCTATCACATCATGCTATGTTTAGATAGTTTTAAATCAGTTATTTTTTTCATCCACACTGAACTTGCCTCCTTTTTTTGTATTATCAAAAAATTACACAAAAACCCACATGTGATTACACTCTACGTTACGGCAAGCTAACTTTATGTGTCTTTATAGATGATTTGATGGTCTGTCCCTTATTTGGCCATCCTGAAAGCATAGAAGAAAACAAAAAGATCGGCCAACCACTTTACTGTTTGAAATGATTAAACTTTTCTACCCTGGGATTTCAGTCTTAGGAAGGGCTGGGACTGATGAAGCCACTAGAACATGTAAAAAATGTAAAAAGAATTACCATTATTAGCGATTTTGCAAAGTGAAAGTGACAGAGATGAATTGTCTATTACAAAGTCACCCAGTTTAGCTGCCAAAATGCTGCAGGCTTCGAGAATAACACCAGAATGTAAGCCAATGGCAATTTTTTAAAAACACGGAATGACCTAAATATGAGTTTTCTTCAGCTTAGGCTGAACTAGAATGCACAGCCCTTAACCCCCGGAGTTAGGAGTCGGCGGTGAACAGATGGCCAACTACAAAGTCCGGTGTCAGGAGAGCTGGGACAACAGAGTGAGGCCACAGCACCGAAGCCTGGGGTCCCAGCGTGCACGGACAAGGACAGTTAGGACCAGGAGCTCCCATCCGCCTCCACCAGCGTACAAGGAGGAACTGCTGTGATTTGTTTTGCGGATGTAATGCAGACATGCCCGAGTTTGACGAAAACTCTCATGCACCCAGAACAACGAGATGCACACCCTGGATTAGGCACAAGATCTGTGTGGCTGGCTGTAGGAAAGTTCGGTTGCTCAGAATTTAGGAAAGTGGTTTCATTTTTGGCTTTATGTTAGCTGGAGGGGAGACTCCATTCTTAAAGGAAAAATAGATCTACACGTTGGAAACCTGCTACGCATTGTCAGCAGTCTGTATGGCTAACGTTGGGCTCTTGGCTGTAGCACGTTCCAGGCCTATCATCTTTGGGAACCCTGCAACTGGGAGAAATAGCGGTATTCAAGTTGAAGGTTTAAAATAGCTGGCAAAATGTTATCTAGGTATAAAAATTACCTTTCCGCATATGTGCGTATCTGTTTAATAGTCACATGTAACCCAAGAACTTTGAAAAGCATTCTTACACAACACTGCAGTATCTACTAAACAGCCTGCACCTGGCATGTGTGCCGCAGCGGGTGCACAGGGCCCTGTCTGTCTGTCCACGCCGCCAAGTCGCCCCAGCATCGCCCCCGCAGCCAAGCATCGGGCGGCAGTGCACATAGGGGCGGTGTTGGCACTTTGTGAGAAATAAGTGGGTTTTGGGTTGCAGTTTGGGCCCTCGGTCTCTGAAAGGTTTGCCATCACCGCCTAGACTTTCATTTAGAACACACGTGGGACAGTCACCTTTCCCCCCTTTTGTGGCACAGAAATTGTCACAATACCACTAAACAGTCACAGCTCACGTTGTGACTTTCGAGCTGAGCATGCGAGTGCATAGACTTTCTCTTCTTAATGCTGCCTTGATTTTGCGGTAGTTTGTAAACGCTACGAGTATTTGGCCCCTCCCCTGCCTCCAAGTGCTCTTTCCATTGGAGCAGGAGGGCTGCGGGGAGTCGGGCAAAGGTGGGGGGTGGGCACCATGGGCAGCACCTCCCAGGGCAGCTTCTGTTCTTTTCCCCAGGCTCTGCTTGAAGTCCAGAGAAAGGGAGCTGCTGTGCTGCTCTCTGGGCTGCGGGAAAGCGCAGAAGGGGAGCGATTAAGAGGAGAAGTTGTGTGAGCTCCACTCAGCCAGGCGCTGGGGTGAGGGCGGGACCCAGACAGGCTGAAATCCTGGGCTCCTGCCCTACAATGTGCACCCCTGGCTGAGGACCAGACGCCCAGCCAACTCCTCCATTACTACGCTGTCAAAATGCGGGGCATTCAGGCTCCTGCTGCATTTGCAGAACCGCTGCCATCTGAAACAGCCACAAGTACTGGTGAGACTGCAGCTTGTGTTTATAATGTAGACAAACCTTACAGGGACCTTTTCCTGGTCATACGTGGGCACTACCGCGCTGTCTCTGGTTCTTTTTGGTCCGGTGTCCACCCTACCCATGGCAGATGTCACGTGGGTGTCTTAAACCGCCGTGGACATCTCTTCTGACCCCATGCACGATGGACACGCTGCACCTCACTGGGTAACGGGGGCAGCAACCATCACAGAGGGCTGTCAGGCACTCAGTCTCCAGAGAGGAGACACATTTGCAATCTGGGCAGCGATTGGGAGGTGGACACATCCCCGGCGGCCCCTGTGCTCGCCCGCTCGAGCGCTCCGTGACTCTCACTTTAGCTGGACGCTCCTCACCGTATTTTGTTAAGATGACTACTGAGCGGAACCTATCCTCCGCCTGATCCTCTACAGAGCTAACGGAGTACTTGAAACTGAGTTCGAAGCCAGTCATTCCCCCCGCAGAGAACTCGGTGGGGTGGAGGAGGGTTCAGCGCCGGCCTCTGCAGGCGATGTCCACAGGGCGTTGTGCCTAACCCCGGGGCCCGGGCGGGCTCCCCGCCACACACAACCTCAGCATGTTGGCACAGACATAAATGAGGCTCTGAAAGGAGGACCACTATGGCGGCAGCCGGCTAACACCGTGTGGACTGAAGCACGGAACACGCAGGGCAGAGTGTTCTATGCCGAGGTACACACCTCTTCCTCTGAACTGTCACTCGGGTCATTGTCTAGGGAGGCGCTCAAGGAGGCCGCCTTGGGCTCCAGGTAGCAGAGGCACAGAGCCAGAGGGAAGGAGAGCGTGAGGGCGTAGGGCACTGAGAAGGAGGCGGACAGCAGGAAGGAGAAGATGAAGAGGAAGCAGGGCACGAGGGAGGGCGAGCGGATCGGGAGGTAATGCTGCAGGCTCTGGGGCAGGAGATTGGTCTCGGACAGGCTGGGGAAAGAGAGGTACCCGTCGTCATCGAGCAGCGACGGGAAGCCCTCCGGGAGCTGCAAGGAGAAGGAGAACAGGGTGGCGCCCCTGCTGGCCGGCCGCCTGCAGCGGAAGAGCACGTCCGGGTCGCCCGGGCACGCCTTCACTTGGCCCTGGGCGTCCGCCGCGGGCTCGTCGGGCGCGGGCTCTGCTCGGGGCGCCTCGCAGCCTGGCGCTTTGTGCTCCTTCTCCGTACACCTCCTCCGGAGCTCTGGGGGAGATGAGGGGTCGCAATGGGCTGCCGGGGGGGACAAGGGGCGTGAGTCAGTGCCAAGCCCGGGGGGCTGAGGTGAGGGAGACAGAGAGAGACAGGAAGCAGCAAACAGAGGTGCAAAAGGACAAAAAGAAAACTGCAATTAGTTACTTTTCTTATGGGTATCGATATCCACTTATAAAACAAGAAGTTCAGCCCCAGGGCAGTTTGTGAATTGTAAGGGAGTCCAGCTGTGGCCAGGTCCCCGCGGGTGGCCTCAGCTCTCCCGAGACAGGAGCATCTCACACAGAGTGTGATTTTCAAAAACTCAGACAGAAGGTATTCACGGTCACTCCCAACACCTACATGTTTCCCCGCGACCAAAAAACCTCATTTCAGACCCACAACACCAGAAGGCTTTTGGATTTTGAGAGCAAATGAAACTCTTCAATAAATTAAAATCAAGACTTTCAATAACCCTTTCCGGATCTCCAGGTAATAGATCTGTTATAATACTTCAACTAGATAACAATGAAAATGAACTCCAATTCAAATATTAATTAATTCAAAAAAAACTCTAGCATTGCTCTTTTCCTGGGTTAGTCAGTCATATCCATAAAAAGGTGGGTTTTCAAATCAAGTTTCTGGCCCCCCCTCCCCAAAAAGAAGTTTCTGGCCCCACTCCTGTCTGATACACAGGCACAACTGAGATAGTCGATAATGAGCATTTTGGGACCTCCGACTCCTCACCAAGAACTGAGCTGCCTTTCAAACTTTTCTTTTGCCTCCATCCTCTAAGAAGTAAGAGGACTATCAACCAAAATAAGCAGTTTCACCATGCTAACTGCCAGAAAGAATGTGTTTTCTTCTAACATGGGTTCTATGTGTTTAGTTTCTATTATTTGTACCAGACTAGCAATAGAAAGATACATTTCTCCAGATGTAGAAAGATACATCTCTTCTGCCAAGACATAAAGGGCCTGTTGATACTTTTGTGTTTGCCCCACAGTGTCCTGGTGAACTCAAATTGAACCTAGTTCTGTTCTCAGGGGGCCTGATGGTATCATTGTTCAGAACTGGTTTCCTCTGCTTGGTGAAGGCTGCTGCTGGCCATGACTGGAAGAAAGCAAGGCGGGTTCAAGACCAGGGTGCAGAGCCTCAGGATAGTTAGACTTCTGCTGCTGCCTGTGCCGTGTTTGACTGTGTGCCTCTGTGTGTGTGTGTGTGTGTGTGTGTGTGTTTTGCCTAGCGATCTGATAGCATGGAAATTGCCCAGGCTGGTTGGTGATGGTTATCCAATCCTGACTTGGAGAGAAGAGGCAAATATAGCAACAGAAGGAAAGGAACCGCACAAATAAAATCACAGCTGAGCATGAGGGAAGGACAAATATGAGTACATTTTGGATGTATCAGCGCTGAAGTGTCTCTTTCCCCACACTCGTGTTTGAATCCTAAACAGAACCCGCACAGCTCTCTCAGAATGTTACGAGCCACCTTCTGTGAGATGCCGACTGTGCTCTGGCTGCCTAGAACTAGGGAACCACCTGAGGGAAAAGATCTCCTCCCCAGGAAGCCTGGGGCCACCCTCTTCACAACTATTTTCAGGAATACATTTTAGTTTTGTTTTAAAAAAAAAAAAGTTCCCTCTGTGTTACTTTTTGAAGATGGAAAAGAATAAAGTTAAAGTTTACACTTCTATGCTACTTATTATAGTGCTTTTTAAAAGTCAGCGTGGCCCTGGGGCTAATAAGAATAGCCGGCACCACTGCAGCTGCCCCAAGGAAGGAACGCGCCCCAAGGAAGGAACGCGCTCCAAGGGCTGGCTTCTCCCCCTCAGATGTTGAGGGGGCTCGTGCTCTCTGTCCTTTTCTTTTCCCGTGGTATAAATGGCGCAGAGTGAGGACCTGGGAGTGTTCCAGCTCAATACTACACGGTGGCCTTTTCAAGTCAAAAACGAGAGCTGGACCTGGACCTATTTTGGGAGCAAACTAAAAATCTTTTACTTTTGCATGTCACTTAATTATATTTACACTCCCAAGTGAACCACCTGTTGGTACGGGCAACATCACACAAGTCTGAACTAACTGAGCACTGGAACATACTTGCATTCCAGGTGCGCCGTCTCTTTATATGACCTAGTTAAAACCTGCCCTCGACTGAACTGACAGGAAGAGGGGAAACGTGAAATTCCGCTCAAAGCACATCTTAGCAGCAAGCGATCCAAATAGCCCTGTCATCAGTTCCCACCTTGTGCTTCACTCTTGTGTTTGGCAAGTAAAGGGTCTTTCAAAAATGCAAAAATTAAAAGGATGATGGATTGAGTCATTTGGAATATTGTAACACAACTACATAAAATTATTTGTTCATCTGTCCTATTAAAGTGCCAATGCTAAATTCTGAGGGGAATAAGTATGCCCCTGTGGCAGCCTGAGTGGTGCTTCTGTAGGATATACTGTATATTTCAAGGCCCCCATGAAGAAGACCACTTATGAGTCAGTAGTTCTCCCGTGCGGGGTAACTCATAGCTCGCACGAGCACTGCGGCTGTACTTCCCGTCTCTCTGATCCCTGCATATCCCAGGACCACGCCGGCTTCCTGTTATTATCCCTATAGACCTCCCAAATATGTGCACTTTTAAGTTGTTTTTCTAAAAAAGTTGCTTTCTTCTGGTGGATCCTCAGAAATAAAGTTGATGTTTAAAAATAATGTTTAAGAAGAAACTTTGCTTTGTGGGAAACAATGTTACCACGTGCAATGAAGAAAACACCTGGAGAAGCTGCTCCCGGAGCTACTCTGTGTCTCCCACGGCCCCCTCCTGCCTGAACAGCCCCTCTGCAAACTGGCCGCTCACTCCTTTGCTCATCAGACTGGAAGACTAGGGAGGTGATTACAAATGCACGGGCCAGGGACACTCAGCGGTCTCATATCAGAAGACCGGTGAATGATCACCGTATTCCTAGAAAAACAGACTACACTTGGGTAGGAGACTGAGGCCAGAAACAAAGAAAACAGCTTTGGCGAAGTTCTGCGTTGCAAACCCAAACAAAAGCATGGGTGACACCACCCAGGGTATTTTAGAGAGACCTATCGAGGACAGCTGTTGAAAGTCTTATGCAGCACACCCCTTATTAAAATGAAAGTATTTAAAGTTAAAGCAACTTGCAGAGTTAAAATGCTGACGCAGGAACGGTCACTGACACACCGCCCTGTGAAAGTGACTCGTGCAGAAATAGGAAACTGCCTGCGTCCACAGCCTCAGAATCCCCGCGCCACTCGGACAGGCGGGACCAGCCTGGGGCTGTACCTTTCCCTCGTGCCGGATCGCGGAGACGGGCGTGGCCTCCTCGGCCTTCCTCCGTCTGTCCTCCTCCTCGTCGTGCTCCTCCTCGGCCTTTTTCTCCGGAGTCACAGTGGTGATCAAGTTGGTCTGAGAGATGCCCTTTGTGGTGGCGTACTGGCCAGTACCAACCTCTGCAGCAGACATAGAATCCTTCATGTATATTTCATGGTTTTCATTCACTGATGCTAAAAGCAAATACAACCGGAGAAGTAAAATCTGAAATAGTTACGTCAGAAGACACATCAACAACATCACTGTCCCATTCCTGGGTTAAAAAAATACCACTGCAAAATAAAGGGTCTCTCTTAAAAAAAAAAAGAAAGACGCTGAGCCCTGCAGCAGGTTCTTCCATCGATGGTGGTTAAGCACCACCACAGGCTCGTCTTTCGGTTTCAGCTACCTCGGGGTTTTAAAACGATTTCAGTGCTCAGGAATTGAAGCCCAGAGTAGTGCTGGCTACTTGCAGGCTCTGTGGCAAGGTCGTGTGTGTGTGTGTGTGTGTGTGTGTGTGAGAATGAAGGGGGCGGAGCCTGGGCTCACCCTGGAGGTACTGGGCACCAGCACTGCTTCCCGGCCAGTCCCACAGTTCACAGAAGCATGTGCAGTAGATGATGGCTCTAATACATTTGGTACTGAACAGATCTTTGGAAGTGCCATTGATCAAGTAGCATTGAGTCGCAGGTAGTTTCAGCATTGTTAATATTATTATTATTAATGGTACCAGGAATCGAACTCAGGACCTTGCACTGGCCAGGCAGGCACTTATGTCCCTGAGCTATATCCCCAGCCTCATTATTATTTTTTAATGTTAAAAAGTCAATCACTTCTACAACACAAAAGCCCTAAGGCTAATAATGAAAATTAACCACACTGGCAGAGGTTGCAGTATTCGGATGGCAATTCCATTCCACTGAAGTACGGAAGCCTTGTAGCATCCACTGCATTTTAAACAGACTGCCGCGATGAGATGCGTATACGTTTGTTCACTTCTTTAGTGTTCTGGGACAACAGGGCCAATGCTGATAAACGAAATTCGTGCAAACGCACAACATGCACACATCAGAGACAGAAGGCACAGGCTTCCATCCCAGCTAAAATGTCTTAGTGCAGGACACGCTTCATTCAGCTAAATTTTAAAATCTGGTACTCATTATTTTCAGTTTTGGATATCAGAAAAATCATCAAGATGTATAAATGCAGCTTTACAAATATACAGTAGCTAGTTGCAGACAAAATAGGATCTGCATTCATATTTTAGGATTTTTTTTTTGTCTTTTTGAGGCAAGGTCTTGTTGTGTAGTTCAGACTGGCCTTGAATTCACTTTGTAGCCCAGGCTGGCCTTGAACTCACAGTAATCCTCCTGCCTCTGCCTCCTGAATGCTGCCACGCCCAGCCTATTTTAGGAATTTTGAAAGAGAAATAAATGGAAGGATTTAGAAATAAAATCCTTTCCCAAATCCTTCTAACAGTTATATGACTTTACGAAAATATCTTCACTAAGATATTTCATATCTCTATACAGTACTGATGAAAAAGCTCAAGGGACAGCTCGGCTGCTTACGTAAGATGCCGCTCTGCAGCAAGCAGGCTAAGTTCCAACATGCAACCATGCAGCCAGTGCAGCGGCAGCAGGAGACACACGGGGCCTGGCGGCATGGCAGAGCGTTAGGCAGCACACACTGCATCGGGCCGGGCGGGGGGAGGAAGGGGCGGCATGACGTTAGTACACTGACTTCACAGTGACCGTCTTCTGTCTTCTCAGCAGACACTGGCCCACACAAGGTCAGAGGAAAACAACATTCACAACCCATGTGGTTCCCTGAGCAGAGCGGACGCTATCAGGGAAACAAGGTGTGATGCTACCACAGTTGCTCAAGCACTGACTCCGGGAGTGGACAGACAGTTAACAGAGGTTCTTTAAAGGAGAGAAAATGGGACAAGATAGGAAGGAAAGCCTCATAATGCAGAGAGTTCAGTACGTGAACTTAACTTGAAACAATCCCGATAAATATTTTATTTCAAAGAGTTGGCTCTAAATTTGGTGTTCTGGATATCTTTGAAGATACAGAACAGTACTGCAGTCCCTTTGTACCTACCAGGGATTGCTTTTAGGGCCTCTGGGGAGACCAAAGTCCAAAGATCCCCATGTCCCTTATATGGTGTAGATTTTGCCCAAATGTACCTTATTTATTACTATCTATGTATTTATTTAGGGGGTTGACCCCAGGGCCTTTGCACTGAACTAATTTCTACCCTTTCTTCTCTTCCTTCCTCTTCTTCCTACACCACTTCTTCTTTCCTTTTCTCTTTCTTCTTCTTCTTCTTTTTAAAATTTGGAGTCAGGGCCTCACTAAGTCACTAGGTTGCCTAGGCTGGCCTTGAACTTGCGATCCTCCTGCCTCAGCCTCCTAGGGTAATGGGATAAGAGGTGTGTACCACCATACCTGGCTCTCCAATTTACTTGAAATTATTTCTAGATTGCTTATAACACTTACCGCAGTGTAAAAGGTATGTAAACTGCTATCATACTCTACAGTTTAGGTAGTAATAACAAGGCAAAGACTACCTATTTGGTATGGGTGCAATTTTTAAAAAATAGTTTCAGACTGCAATTGGTTGAATTAGCAGATGTGAAACCCCTGGATACAAAAGGCCAATTGTAATTAACTTTTTAGGCCAGCTAACAGAAGCCTGTGAGAATAACTACAATGTGATTACCAGGATACTTATGCTCACACCTATACTAAGATTGCTTTCGCACTTCACAACAGCAACTCTGTTGAAGGTGGCCCTCCTCCCACTTTACAGATGACTAAACTGAGGCCTAGAAAGTTGAAAGCAATTGCCAACCATGGCTCAGATAGAGGAAGCAGAGTCTGCACACACCATATAGCATTAATAACATAATTACAATGTCTTCCATAAGCGGTTTCTGATTGGAGTACTCTGATTGGAAAATACTGTCTTTCTGACCAGAGGATCAAGGGCCACCTCATCCCATCAAGCACCCTGGAGCAGGGTGGGGGTGCAGACTGAAGCTCTGGGGAGCAGCACAAAAACGGAGGGAGCGAGGTGGTCCGGGCACTTGTGACTTCTACTTATTTTTGCTTGGTTTTGCTGATGTACTGAAATCATACACAGCAGACTTCTAACTCTCTTCGCTTGCCCAGGATGGGTCTTCAAAAAAACAACCCATCTCCAGCTGTTGAGTTAGAAGACACTGGCCCGGCTGGGACACAGGTCCTAACGGTCACTGCTGTACTCAGGCCTTGGACAGGAAGGCAAACCTCCACCTGGGACTGCCCAGCAACGCACAGCTCAGGGGAAGCAAAGCCCATGGGCACTGGCCGCCCACTACTCCCCGAAGCCACCAGTGCTGACGTCCTGCTCGCGTATGTGACTCCTGCATCTGGTGTCATCGGACAGAACCATCCCAGGACCATGTTCTCCCCGGCCAGCGATGGCCTTTCTGCTGCCTGCCAGCGACTGAGCGGCAGTGATCACCTTTTATTCCTGAACGTTTTTACCAACAGGGATGAACTCAACTTACCATTTTCTATCTGAAACGAACAGGTGGAGACAAATCTAGTCATTTAAGATCTACTGGCACGAGAGCAGGATTGTTCATACATGTGAGTACCCTACATAGCAGGACAGCACCTTCGCCAAACTCCAAGCTCACTGCAGACTTCTGAAAGCTACGCCCGCCCTTCGTTCCCGAGGTCCTTTGCTGATGGCACGCGACACAGACCTACTGGCCGCGGAATGAGACTGACACAGGCCCTTTTTTTTTTTTTTAAGAGCTGAGGACCTTAAAAGCCCACCGCCATCCAAGATCCACAGCTCTTTTCATCCCCATATCCACGCTGGCCTCTGTCTACTGAAAGCTCAAGCAGGTTCTCACTCCTTTGTGAGAAGCTACGAGCAGTGACGAGCCCGTCACGGACGCCTACCTCCATCCAAGCTGCGCGACATGGTGTAGCGCTTGCTGGACGAGCGCTCAAAGTAAGGTGCGGGGCGGTCTATCAGCGCGCTGGCCCTCCTGGTCTGCGCTTGCGTCCGGCCGCTGTACCGGAACTTGGAACCCAAGGTGAGGAATTTCTTTGGCGGTGCTTCTGGCAATAACAGTCTAAAGATATTCAAGAAAGGCACCGGGAGGATTAAGTGTTACCAGTTGCTTTTTAACTTTTTGCTGTGTTTTGGGTGATAAAAGTTTGACATGTAACTTGTAGTTAAGTGAAGCTGATTTTATGAGAAAAAAAGTACTGATCCACAAAGTACAGATCAGTGGGTAGAGAGAGGATGTAGTGAAACTGGGGTTGGCTGGGACTAGGTGAACTTTAATGTTCACGCAGGTGGAGGGTCTGGGGTTTCATAAGCCCAAAGAGCAATTAAATAAGTATTACAGAAGAAGACTGATGACTTCTTGTTTTGTAGGCCTCGAAAGGATCGCTCTAGTGCCATATACGGGCGGGAGCCCAGGACACTGAGGAGTTACTGAAATAATAAGGAATGGACTATCTACTTCAAGAGGATGCTTTATAAAAATCAATGAAAATATACTGAGGTTAATAAAGAAATAAAGGGAGTAGGATAGCTTCGACAAAGAAAATTCTTCAAATTTAATCAGAAATTCTTGTAGGATTTCTTATCAGGCAATCTGGTGCCGCGAGCTTGAGGGAACAGGAAGGGGATGTTCCCGCATTCTTCCTCCCGACATGCTTTTCGGCATAGTGCCCGCAACCTTCCCGTTCTTCCGGGAAATGATCTCCGCCTACCTGAAAAACGTGTGGTGCTCAACACACACCTTCCACAAACGCTTAGCAGCTCGGTGGTTTGGCAGCTTAAACCCAATGGTGCTTTCAAATTGTTCAAACTAAAATATAAAAAAAAAACAGATTGAAGAGTGAAGTTTAGAACTGCAAGTAACAGAAGTTCTGCGAACAGTTTCCAAAATCATGATGCCACCCACAAATTTTTCTTTACTCACTGAATTGCCAAATGCAGAAATTTGTTATAGTATATAAATTTATCCATTAAAAATCCTTACATCTATCTCTTTAAAATGCTGTTAGTAGAGATTAATGCTATGCATATCCTAAATGTCTTTGCACAAGTATGAATCTTAGGAAAACTAAATACAAAAAAAGAAAGTACTGGATTCTTCCAGAGATCAGTTTGTGCTGATCTCATTTTTAAGTCTTATTTCCATGGTTTCTCAATGACATAATGCCTTCAACTGCAGTGCACAGGAATGAGCAAATGTTTGTAAGTGTAAAGCATCCTTAGAAATGACATTTTCTTCTACATCTGGCCAGGATGTGTGTGTGTGTGTGTGTGTGTGTGTGTGTGTGTATATATATATATTTTTTTTTTTTTTTTCCCCCCTTAGATATTTGATGTCTTGGTGCCAAGTATGCCTGACATCATTTGTGTATTCTGCTGTGGGTTACAGTGTTAAGGGCTCACGCCTCTTTCTAGTATTATATATAATAATACTAGAATACTACATTAATACTATAATGCTCTGTTATTATATCTAATAGTTCTCAGGGGTTAGGAGAATACATTTTCATATTTTGCAGCATGTGTATTTTCAGATCATACTGTCAGTAATTTGATTTTTTCCAGACAGTATCCATCAAGCCACCAGAGGGCAATCACCTTAAACAGTAGCAGCTCATCCAAAAGAGCGCAGAACAACTGGGCTATAGAATAACCAGCAGCAAAAGCAATCTGTGAGGCCAAGAATCAAGGTGAGGGTCAAGCGGACGGCATGTGAGATGTACTCACGCCTAGTCTCTCATTTGCACTTGGCTGGTGGAACCGCGGAATGCACGATGCATTGCTCAAGCTGCAGTGTCATCCCCAATTTCTTATGTACTCTGGACATACATATGGCAAGGCGACTGCAAAAACTGCTGCTGCCTGAAGGACCAAGTAAGCCAGGAGCACTGCGGCATTCTTGACTAGGTCACCATCCACCCACGTACGCATCCTGCATCCGCTGCTCACCACACCCCCTGCTAAGGCTCCATGATAACGCGGTCAGCTTGCCGCAAGACACCCAGAAGAGTCTGTCTCGCTCTTGTGTTTTTAATTTTGCAGATACCAAGTAATTATACAGCTCTTTGGAATGTAGTGCAATATTTGCACGTGTATACAAGATGTGCAACGATCAGGTCAAGGTAATTGGCATGACCTCCACCTCAAACATCCATTATTTGCTAGGGAAACATGCAAAATCCTCTCTGCAAGGTACTTTTGAAATACATGATAAATTGTTGTCCACCACAGTTTCTTCACTGAGCTCCACTCAAAGTCAGTCCTCCTAGCCAGCCGCCTCCTTTCGTTTATAAGTCTAAAGCATCCTTAGGAACAACATTTTCTTCTAGAATCTGGCCAGGATACACACACACACACACACACACACACATATATATATTTTTTTTAATTTAATTTTATTTTTTTTTCCCTAGGTACTGGATGTCTTGGTGTCAAATATGGCTGCTATCGTTGGTATATTCCACTGTGGGTTACAATGTTAAGGGCTCACACCTCTTCCTAGTATTATATATAAGATCAGAAGGTATTGCTAACCACCTTCTCTCCATCCCTTCTCCTCTCCCCCACCTCTGCTCACCCTATCTCCTCTCTTCCTTCTGAGACTGACCTCCTTAGGGGGAGAGTCACTTGCTGCCATTCTCTGCGTAGGAATGACACAGGCCCCGGGCTTCCAGAATGCTCCTCTCTGTGTGCCGTATCCGCCCCCTTAACCCTCTGCGGAGCCAGCGAGCCACAGCTAATTTCTGCTCCGCCCATGGTGAAATAGCAGTGGGGGTGGCTGCCCCTCTTTTAAATAATAGTGTTACCCGGAATTTTTTTACCTTAGGGCCTCTTCTTTTTTAAATTAAGTTTATTGGTGCATTTTAGATATACACAGTGATCACACACATCACAGGGAATTTGTGCCCCTACATGATATATTTTGATTCCTCTTTTTTTCCCCAATCCCCTCTCCTCCCTTCAACCCATCTTCCCCTCCCTATGTATAAAGCTTAGGGTCTCTGCTTTAACTTCCCTTGCTCTTTGGATAAGGCCTAAGGCCTTGAGCAAAATGTTAACTAACTCCTTTTTAAAAATTCTTGAATCAGGATCTCCTTAAATTGTGAAGTTGCCCAGGCTGGGCTCAAACTTTCCATCCCCATGCATCAGCCTCTCAGAATGCTGGTATTCTAGGCATGTGCCACCATACCAGGCTTCAGTGTTTTTTCTGAATTTCACCTCCTTTTTGCTCTTGTCTAAAATCATCTCCACCAGTCCACTTTGCTATGGTTTTCCTGGTCTCTCTCTGCCCCGCTTGAGGGACAGGGTCTTGTTGCGCTAGAGGACAGCTCTTCCACGAGGAGCAGCCTCAGTTCTCCTGGGCTCCTCCCTCAAGTCTGCTCCCTCTACTCCGCCTCCACCCTCTGCCCTGGTCTAGGCCTGTATCTCTCACATTGTACTACTAGGAAGTTGAATTCCATTAAGCAAGTCACATTCGCAGTGTATCCTGTCCTGACACAAACCCTTCCGTGGATCCCTGTTGTGACTCTTTTCTCCCACCTTCCTTTTGGGCTCTGACAACACCATCCTCGTTCTATGCTTGCAGAACAGCATTTCATCGGCCTCACAGTTCTGTTTCCCTCATGCAAAAATCTTAAGAGGAGGAACAAGATTGTATTCCCAGTGCTATCACGATGACCCGACACTATGTGCTCACTTCATAAATGTTCAGGGAACTCATACGTATGTGTTACAAGTTATAGCATACAATATTTAGAAGCTATTTTTACAACAATACAGTTTCAGTTATTTACATAGAAAGCTTATAGATTATTTCAGTTGTCAAAGACAACTACGATTTGCATTCATCATTACTGTTTGCTTTATCTGGTTTTGAAAAATGCAGTTACACCAAGAAACTCCAGTGGAGAGGATGACTTTGAAGACAGGAGACAACTACATCATACCAGAAAACGTTCAGAGTCAGGAATGAGTTAGAATCATTGAGCTCTGCCTGGCTCCAGGAGATTACCACACCAATTAGAAACTGAAGGCATTTATTAAACAAATAAAAGCAGATATTTACGACCAGATATGTACAAACCAGTAAGGAAGATGTAAGTCTAAGCTGATTACAGAGGCTGCTGCCCAAAGAGGAAGAGTTAGGTAACAATTCTGATTTGTTATTAGTTTCTCTGATTAAAAAAAGTAGGAAAGTATGAAAATACACTAGGCCGTGGACTATTTACACAATTCAGACTCAGCATCCTCTATTCTAATCTTCCTTGTACCTTGAACCACAGTATCTCTAAGCTGTTCACTTTGGGGTACCGCCAGATTGGCAGAAAAGATTAAAAAGAGAATGGAGCTACTAAAAACAGGACACGAGGGAAGAAATTTATTCTTCACGGCTTGAAATATACAAAAAATTATTCCTGAATCTTGATTTTATATTGAAATATGTTTTCAAAAAATCCTTTCAATTAATGCATACAGTTGGGAAAAAACTAGAACATAATAAAGAAGAGAACATGTTATTTATTACTGCTTTATTGAACAAACTGACAACAAATTCCCTCAGGCATTTAGATATAATTCACCATGTCTCACAATGCTCAGAACGTACGAGCAGATAATTCATATTTCTGTCCATTGTTAAGGACCTTGCTTCCCAATGTACACGCAAATGTAGTATACTTACCTCCCCCGGCCGAATCTTAATGTAAAAATTGTTTCTTTTGTACGAAATCTTTAGAACCTTGGGCCAAGCAAATCTGTTTATTCGCAGTCGGTCACGATATATCAATAGGCCACTCGCACAAACTCCTAACATGATTTCTACTCCTTCTGAATCCTGGAAAATAGCAGCAAGAAATAACACATCAGTGTCTCACTTATTTCCACTTTTTGCTGGGTACAAGATTTAAGCCGCCATGACAGAACCTATCATTGACTAATTTAAATATGAAAAATACTGCAGCCTTTAAAAGAAACATTACCATTAAAAAGTAGCTGTTTAACGGATGTATTTCACTATGGAGATTTGCTGGGGTTGCATCTGCTTAGATTTATGGCATCAATACTGTAACACAGTGATGGTCCAGTGGGTGAGGGCGCGTAACAACCACATCAGCAGTGGCCACAGCATCCAGGAACTGAGCAAGAAGCACTGATAGATGGTCCTATGTGTAATGACAATCTTCATTCACCGTGCTGTGTGGGGACAGTTGCAATTGCTAAGGCCACTTTACAGATGATGACACAGAGGCAGAGGCCCAGTTCACCACAAGCCACTTGGTTCGAGAGGTGGCATTCCTGGCTGACATGTGTACTAACAAATGGGGCCCTAGCTGGGTGTGGTAGTGTGGAAGGCTGAAGCAGGAGGATTATAAGTTCTAGCCCAGCTTGGGCAACTTGGTGACTTACAGAGACCCTGTCTCCACGTAAAACAATAAAATAAAGGGCTGGGAATGTAGCACAGTGGATAGGCCCTGGGTTCAACTTCCCTGTCCCCAGGACCACACACACACATGCACGCACGCACGCACGCACACACACGAGACCCCATCTTCTACTTTGAGTAATTTGCATTTTGTTACTTTAAAAAGAACCTCAATCTTCTTTGTATACCATGGCTGCCAGAGTAAAAGTTGAATATGAAATAATCATTTGAAAGTATGAATGTGTTTTCCCAACAGCCCCCAGAAATGCACACTGCCCAGGAGCGCTCACACCTAGCATAGATGTTTGCGCAGATATATGTGTATGTGCACAGTGGTGCTTCCAGCAAACATCGGATCACACTGTAACTGGAACGGGCTTTTCTCCTCGTACATTTCATCTTCTAATAATTCCCTCAAGATATGTGATGCCTAGGTCCTCAGGTATCATAATGAGCTCAGGAGATGGATGATCTGCAGTCTGTCCTCATTAAATGTCCTCATCCCTGAAGTCAGGGAGAGGTGACCATGTAAAGTGGCCTTGAGTGGGGTCAGAAACAGGCAGGACTGCTACAGCTGCAAACCCTACACCTCGTCTCAGGGCTCACTGGTGGCAGGCCTGTCACACCCACTATACCACAACCCTGTCACTCTGCCTCAGGCTGCCCTAGGCAAAACAGAAAGGGACAGCAGAGAATCCAGACAGCAGATTCTGACTCGTCCATCTGGCAGGAAGCGACTTCCCATCGCCTGTCATGCAAGGTACAAGATGCACATTTCCAGAATCCAAAATAAAGACATTGATTGGTCCATCTCTGGGAAATGTTAAGTTGACCATCGGGATGTAATTGGTTTAAAATGAAATATCTTACCTTGTCACGGATCTCTCCATTAGAGACCAAGTAACTCTCCAGGGTGGAACTGTGTCATGGCAGGATATTACTACATAATAGAATTAGAGGAGAACACAAAGACCACAAACTGCCTGCCACCCACCGAGGGCTTTGATTTGAAAGAGCAAGGGAAAGAGCTACAACCTGATGCTCACAAGTCGCTGGTTCTCCTGTGCTTGACAGGAAGCCCACCTGTTCCACTTCCACGACCAATCAGAGGTGAGCACCTCCCACAAGGCAGGCCCGAGGGTGCCCTGCTTGAATAACTGGTCTCCCAGTTGCTGTCTTTTTGCACACAGAATGTAAGTGTAGGAGTGCTGTCTTTGGCTTACAATGCGTAAGGACATTGAAGGCCTTTACATGGTTACGTATTTTTAAGTCACTCTCTTGCATCGCTGAGCACTCAGGAACAGTGTCCTTGAATTCATGGGGCAGGTGAGGAAGGTGATGCCACTTCCTCTCCTTGTGGCCTCCAACATGTGCTTCTCTGGGGCCCCAAATGAGTGAGTTATTGCTGGCACAGCCCTTAGCAAACAGTGCTGAAGTAAGGCTCCCTCATCTTCCTCCCCAGAGACTGTGAACTGGTGCAGAGCAGCAGCTTTGCTTCATCTCTGTGACCTCAGGGCCAGCACAGGGCTTGTCCAGCATGCACCAAGCCCACACATGCGCCCGTCTGCTGAAAGACTGGTACAATGGCGAGCGCAAATGAAAACGGCAGGAATAAGTGGGATTTTACACTGGAGGAAAATCTGCATTTCATCTATGGCATGGGAACAAAAAATGGTATTTTCATACCAGATTTTCTGCCACAGGCCACAATATTTGGTTACTTGGATAAATCTTAGGTATTACCTGCCTTTCTTGGGGACAGGTGCATTTCCTGTCCAATACAGAGGTATATGCGGCTGTCCATGAGGGACGTGGGACTATCTCAGTCTGTGACAATGGAAATACAGGGCCATGCTGCCCCCTCTGCTCAGAATCTCCCTTCAAGCACAGCTTCCTGCAGCACTGCTTGGTTCACAGGACATCTGAGAAGAATTTTTTTTATCTACATTGCATAACCTTACTTGAAATAAATGGCTCTGACAAAGCCTATTAACACTGACTGTAAGTGACACACAAGCAGAGTCATCCTTCCAAGGGAAAAAACAGTGTTTAGAGTGTGTTTTCCAAAATGCAGAGCCTACATCTGCTGTCAGGCTCACAAGCTGCTGGTGTCACTGATCCTTGAGAACCAGCCAGTCTGCTCCTGCAACCACTCCGGGGCCACCACCTCGGGCCACGAGCAGGAAGGCAGGCACCTCTTCTTTATCCCAAGCCTCGAAGTCCGAGATCACAGTTCAAGACGTTTAAATGGGTCATAAAGCTCCGGGACTTCCTACCAGCCACAGAAGAGAAGCATCTTCTTTATAACCGGAAATTAGCTCTAATTTAATTCAGTAAATTTCCTCCCTGAAATGATGGAGCGTGGCTGCATGAGAAAATGGAGTCTATAACTGAAGCATTTGTTATACTTAATATTCAGATAAAACCCCTGAACAGGCTGCATTTGCACTTCCTTAATTCTTTTTCTCTTTAATTGGCATCATTTCAAATCATATTACTGAATGAAAAAGCAGCCATCTATTCCAACTCCATAGCTCCAGCAATAACAAGAGACTTTATTTTTACTGACAGGAGCACGGATACATCCTGAGTTGCACTTCCCTAAATGTATGCCCCAATCCTATCTTTCTTTTTCCCTCTTTTCTTGTCTTTCTTTCTTTTTTCTTTTCTTCCTTTCTTTCTATTTGTCTAGGCAGTAAATGGATCAAGGTGTATGATGTGACCCAAAATAGCTTTAGATTTGCTCAAATTCTCATTTTCTCCCATCGCTTAGCCACGTAGGTTAAAAACTCTATGAGAAATAAAACAAAAATATCTTGGTGTTTAGATCACATTTTTATATTGCAAGCCTTCTTCTAACTTAAACTTGGCAAAAATTACAAAACATCTTTGTTAGCTGAGTGTGAACTAAGTGGAAAGGCATAGTAATGAACTGGCGAATAAACAAAGCTACACCTGCTGTTGTAATTACACACAAATGTCAATGTGCTTGACATCCAAGATCCTGGCATAGCCCTGGCAGAAGCTTCAGCCAAGTCTGAGGCACTGCTAGCTCCCCTGCTTTGCAGGCCTCATCCTCTGTGATGGAGGAGGCTCTACTGACATCATCACTCCAACCTCATGGACTCCATGACCGCTGACTTCCTGTCCAAATTCATTGTGGGCGGGTTTGCTCTCCCAGGGTCAAACAAACAACAGCCCCACTTCCACCAGCCACAGAGCTGACACATCACAGATCTCCCTCCCTCTGCTTATCAGGTTGTTTGATGCTCCCAAGCACAGCCAGCCAGAGTCTCCTCGTTTCTAGACCCTGAACCTGACTGCGTGGAAGACACCGCTTGCCCGGAAGCAGGTAATCACATTCTTGTGAGTCCCAGACTGTGAAACTGGCAACTGTCTGTTGAAGGCAGAATCTGCGCCCCTACAGAGGAGCAGTATTATCTTTTCAGCCACCATCAGAAGAAACGACCCCTGAACTTTGGAGAGTGACCTTTGAACTCTGCCAAAGTACCGAAATCCAACTCTAGAATCCCAACAAATGTCACTCACACTGCTGATGAAAGCTTTCACAAAAGTGCCCCCGTACTACCGCAGCGCTGCCACTCGGGGCTCTTCGTGGAGTACACTTCCCAGCAGTGCACAGGCGCATTCTCGCACACTGAAAAGCACAGAGATTCTAGCAGGAGCTCGGTGTGGGGTCCATGCTGGTCTCTTCCTCACACGGAAACCAGCCCACGGCTCCACACCTGCTTCTGTCCATGACACGCCTCTAACCTCACACCCACTGCCAGTTAGCAACACCACATTTGGCCGGGGGGCAGTGCTTAACTTTAGTTGGACTTTTAAAAACTAATCTTATTTCAAAGTACTGGTTCTATGGCACAGGGTTCAAACTTTAGAGATAGAGTTATTTAAATGTAACATGAACGTATGACTGCCTGGCTGGGTTCCAGGACTGGGGCATATATAGTACTTGGCACATAACAGATGTGACACTTGGAGTAGACCATCAGCCAAGTTTAGACAGTAAGACAGACATGGAGGAGCCTGGCGGTCGAGGCAAAGATGAGGGTATTTTGGGGAAAGGGTGAGGCAGTGCTTGGAGGGAGCAGAGGACACTTGGTGGCCTTTGTAACCTGTAGCCAGGAGGGAAGGTGAGCCGAGAGCTTGCTTGGTCAAGGGACATTTCCAACACAAGCAGCTGGCAATCTGAAGTTTTGCCTACCATGGGCTTCATGGGGGCCTGGGCCAGGAGTAATGTAAGTGTGATGGTTTATATCTGGACACCTTCCCAAAGCCTCATGCACTCAGAGGTGGGGCTGTGGGGAGATGGCTGGACTGCGGGGGCATGATAGACACTAGTGGATATAGCTAATGTGATGCTGGGAGTAGGTGAATCACTGGGGCATGTCCTGGAAGGGTCTACTGCCCTCCTCCCTTAACCTCTCTCTGCTTCCTGCCTGCCCTGCCATGGACTGCTTCTCCTCTGTGATGCCCCTCTGCCATGCCACCCTGCCTTGGAGCCAGCTGACTACAGACTGAAACCTCTGCAAACTGGGAGCTGAAATAAACCCTTCCTCCCTTAACTCGTGGGTGTTGGGTATTTTGTCTCAGTGAGGAGAAAGTAACTAAGACAGTTTCAGCCACAAAGACCAACCTTGGGTGAACGTCAGCGCTAAGGTTGTGTTATCATGGAATAAGGCTTAAAAGGCAAACACAGATTAAATCCTCAAAGATTCTATTTACATTAATGGGTGTAAAAATTGCCAGCTTACAGACATAACAACGCTGAATTCAATAAAAGAATCTGGGATTTGAAAAGGCATACCTTGGCATGATGTAAATCTACCCCATACATGGAGAGCTTTTTGGCGTTTTCCAAGAAATGCATTTCTGCTTCCGCTGGTGTCATTCCTCTGATTGGGGGAAAATTGTGTTACAAGGCTTCTTTCCTTGTTTATCGTTTAGAATTAGAAATAAAAAGCAATAAGCTGTTTTTCTTTCATCTGGTGAGGCTGCTTAGTTTTTTGCTATCTTATAAGAAAACCCCCAGTGAGACATGGGCAGATACAGGTTTGAATTCCTAATCAAAAACCTGAAGTGCTCCACAATCCGAACCTTTAAAGCACCAACACAACACCAAAAGGGGAAAATTCTACACTTGGGCATAGGAACTCTAAAAATACTGTGTAAAATCACCATCAGGCATGTGTATAAAACACATATGAAACATACATACATTTTGTGGTTAGATTTGGGTTCCCTTCCTCAAGATTTCATTGTTTACATGCAAATAAATATTCCAAAGTCTGAAAAATTCCAAACTCTGAAATACTTTCAGTCACAGGCATTTTGGATAAGGGATGCCCAATCTATACGTAAGAAAAGTATAACAAGAGAAATGGTTTTGAAGGTAAACACCTTCAAAATGGTAAATGGTAAATGGACACCTGGTTGTTCTGTAGGGGAACTTCCGTCCCTTAGACCGTTCCCAGATATGAGCAGCCCTGTGCTAACATCCTGCCCTTAATGCGCGGACAGCATGACCTAGATGGCTGTAGCACCCCCACCCCCTGGTGCACGAGACAAAGTCGAGCTCAGCATCGCCCACCAACCTGTGGCTCTTGTGCAGCTCGATCACCTTGTCCTCCAGCTCCTTCGTGTGGTTCGGGGCGAAGCGGAACTCGCTGATGTAATCACTCCCACACTCGTCCGGGTCATAGTCTCCAAGCTCTGACTGGACTGTGTAGGAGCCCAGCAGGGCAAGGGTCACAAAGGAGCAGGGCAGCCGCCCGGACACGATGTCGTCACGCAGTTGTAGGCAGAGGTAGTACCTTCGAGACAGGGCAGTATAAGACACAGTTCAGCGTCACTGTGGGTGACGACGCCTGTCCAGTGACTTCTCTAGGACACGTTCTTTAACATCTACCCATGCTGACATTTATTTTGTCTGTGACTGATCTAGATATAAGCGGAAAATCCTAGGCTACAAAAGGTATTTCAGGGTGTCTCATCAAAGGCCATGTTCATAATAGAACAGGATTTTATTAGTAATGCACAGAGCAAAAGAAATCTAAAGACATGTTTTCCTAACATCTTTTAATTTAACTTTTAAAGTCAAATGAACAGTTCCCAACATACTCCCAATAAATACTTGGTTGGGGAAATGATATAAAAATGATGCTTTAAACATAATTCTTAGGTCCCAACTAGCCTTCAGGAGGTCTTATTTCAAATCTAGATGACAGGTCTTCCTATCTGACCAAGCCAGACTTCAGGTAGCACCAGCTATGCCTTGCAACTCTAGGGCACCTTGCTGGAGTTGAATGCAGCTGAATACTAACTTTAAAGTACTATGATCTTAAAATCTGAGAGTCCTGTCACTATAAAAGAGAAATATACAATATTATTCATGTAATGTTGCCATCGTTAACAGCTGATTTGAATTTTGTGTGGCTTTGTCTTAAGATTTGCAGAAGTAATTTAACCACCTGCATTGGACTCCACAGTTGAGGGTTAACACCTTTGAGTTTAGATAATACCTATCACCTACCTTTCGTTTGAGTAACAAGCTATTATTCTGCTGAAAGCGTTGACTATGGCAAATTCTTAAAGTCCCTCTTAGAATAAGTAAAATCCATATAACCCAGACACAAACATTCTTCAACACTTAACAGGCTCTCTAAACACTACACACGTAGTTAGAAAAACTGAGCAATAAAGTTTCAAATGTAGGCTCTAGAACCATGAAATGTATATAGGTTCTACAACCACAAATTAGCCATCATTACATAGTTCTTCAATACTGGCTAAAAAGTACCTTTACAGATACTTTATTTATAATTCCCTCTGATTTACTGCAAGTATAAAAGAAATCTGAACTAGAAAATAAACTCTTACCCTACTCCTAATGTCTGATGAAATTGTTTTTAATTGTAATCTACTTTGAGTAATTTCCCTTTGATAACCCCTCCCCCAAGGAGGGTGAGGCTTATGTAGAAAATTCCGTGCACTCAGAATAAAATCATTTTGTCTGGTCATAAACTTCTTACCAAACAGAGTGAGAGTCAGGGGTTCCAAACAGAACACAGGGAAGTCCAGGAGGACGTGTGGAGAACCGAGAAGGATAGGCTAAACACTTGCATTCTGGCCCGTTCTGCTAGCTCAGGTGTCGCCATTCTATCTCCGAGGTGCCGGACTAGGAGGCAGGGTCTTTGGAAGATGGCTGGGTCAGGAGGGTCACCCTTCACAAATGAGGTTAGCGCCCTTGTAGAAGGAGCCAGAGGGAGGCCCCTCACTCCTTCCACTACCCGAGGACGCAGAAAGCAAGGAATGAGGAGCCTGCCACCCAGCTGCAGACCCTCGCAGGAATATGACCCTAACCTTGAACTTCCAGCCTCGAAAACTGTGAGCAATAAATTTCTGTTGCTGATAAACCAGCCAGGCCATGATATTTTATGATAGTAACCTGAACATACTGAGTCACCCAACACTGCTTTATGTTAGATTCTGTTCCTGACATCTTTCCAGAAAACAAACTAATCACTTGCCTTTGTACACATAGGGTACGGAAAGCAAACTCTTAGCTTTATGTGCATTTCTTTGTATCTGTGCGTGTTTTTTGGGCAGCTGTGTAGCATCAGGTTGGTTAATGCAATTTGCAAGCATCTACAGACACTTTTTACTGTAAAGCAGGAGCACTAGGAATGGAAACAGCACTGAAGGCTGAATCCCATCCAACTTTGCTGCGGTGGGTGGATGACGGCAAGTCACTGCTGTGTGTTCCCCACCAGGGTCAGGCGAACGAGAGTGTCAGGCTAGCACCAAAGATTCAACTGTCAACAGACAGGGGTTGGCAAAACTTCCCATCAGATGCTCGTGCTCACTCAGCTGTCTTTTCCTTGCTACGTGAGCACGGGCGACTACAAGGCCACACACGTAAGCCTGCGCCGCTCTGCTCTGCAGCCCCTAGGAGACCCCCGGCTTTCCCAAGGCGGCTGTCTTGTCCACAGCGATCACACACCTGGTTATATCTTCAGAGAGCTGGGAAGGGTCTGGTGGGTAAAATTTCACGTTGAATGAAAAGTGCCAAGCACCGCCTGTAGGGACAGGGAAAAAAATTAGAAGTAAGCCTTAGAAAACTCCGGATTTTCACTGAATGCGGGAAGGACCCCAACCCCAAGCACTAACGCCCACGCAATTCCGATCACTAGTGGAGAACAACGGCGTCTCTGTTAAATGTAGCCGGTAGATAAGTCCAAAACCTCGTCTAATTTCTAATCTTGTCCTCAATCAAATCCTTTACTGGCACTTTTAACTAGCAAGGCAATTAACCAAACTTCCTCCCATTCTCAGGATCGAAGATAAGCCTCTGGAAGAAGGAAGAAAGTAAATGATATGGATAATCCTCCATCAGATAAGTCTGGAATTGACTGGATTTATTGCTATGAATTTCTGGGCACCTCACGTAACAACAGTACAGATATAATTCCCATTTTCTTTGTCCTCTCTGCTTTGTTATTATAGGTCAAGTTCCATTATAATAAATGTCAAGAGACTAGCCAACACAGTCTGATTTTATGAGAAAGGTCTGTTGCAGTGAATAATGCTTTAATAACTGGGCTGCTCTGCCGCTGCTGAAATGTCTTTGTTCACTCAGGGAAATTTCAGACGCGATAGAGACTGGACGTACTTCCTGTGCATTACCCGATTCTGTGCCTCCTTAGCCCATGATCAGATAGGCCTTCTAGTAACTGTGGCATCTCCTTAAAGTCACTGCACAGGGAGAAAGTCAGCCAGATGCGAGTTCAGACGCCTACTCCGCACTGCCTGTGAGACAGCCTTACTGAGCTCTGTAGTTCACGAATGCTACCTCTGCTTGTGGATGATTTACCAATGCACACATGAAAAATGCATCCTTTTGTATACTGATTGTATCTTTGTGATCCCTCTTTTAATTTATTCATCTTGATCTTTCCTTTTCACTTTTAAATGCAGTGGTTTATCAAGCTCTGGATATTCCTTCTCTGCATACTCTTAGGGTTGATTCCAGCCCATAACAATACCGGAAGTTCCTCTGCCTCGGGCCTGTGTTCTGAATGACGTCATGGAAAACTCACCCCAGGCCTCCCAGCTTCTATCCTAGAAGGCTCGCAATCACGCCATGGGCTTGCTGTCAGGCCTGTGACCACACACGCCCCCCATATGCCTCAAGTGATCTCCTAAGACATCCAAACGTGCCCACCCCCATGAAAAGATTTCCACAAACGCCATTTTCTCCAGCAGCCCTGCAGTGTTCAATTTATCAGCTCGTTTCCTGAGCTGTTCCCTTTCATATGCGGCAATGCTCAGCTCCACCAGTTTCCTACATTTCTGGACTAAATCCATGTACTCCTTCCAGTTTGTTCTTAATGCTACCCTGATATCACACTCAAGGTTCTACATGCCGAGTATCTTACTGAGTGGGCTCAGATGTTATTGGCTACTTAGTATCATTTTTAAAGCACTCAAAAGTATCCTGGAAACCTGAGGTGGAAGAATTATAAATCATAAAACCTCTGTCCATGAAATATCAAATTTTTCTATGATTCTCCAGAAAGTCTTCTTGTCATTCTAAAAATAGCCTGATCTGCGTTTCCTTTCCAATTGATTCCTGCTCACTTTCCTCCGAAATCGATCCCCTCATGTGTGCCAATAATAAGGCTCATAATGAGAGCTGGCCTCTCCCCCAAGCAAGTGGCATTAAAAATAATGGATTAGTTATGGGAAGTGGATTTACTGCTCTTTTGTAATTTTCAGCCACTTCAAAGTATGTCTTGATCCAGTGAATCATCTGGCAACATAATTAAACAATCTTACAATAAACTCAGGGTGAAAATTCTCAGCTGGAAATGAACAAGTCATGAAAATATGAGCAAGACATTTCAATATAAAAACCCTCATAGTAGAAGAGCAAGTTGCAGGTGACAATGGGTTTAGGAAGTATCTGATGTGCACGTGGAAAATGCCAGCTCTTGGGCTCACCCTAGAGATTTTTATCCCTCAGAACTGGCGGGTGGTACGGACTTGTGGTTTTAATAAACTCTCCCGTGCTTCTAATGCAGGAGGGTTTTGGCACCACGGGGAAAATCACTATTACTAAGAACCCAACATTCTTAAGGCTGTAAGCTAAAAACTAACCACAAGGGCTTTCAGGACATTATTTTGAAACAAGGTGAAGTTTATAGAAACTACAATACAATCAACATCCCAACCAAGAGGGAGGAGATGTCTGCCAAGCTGAACACAGTGGTCTACACTTGTAATCCCAGCACGCTGGGAGCCTAAGGCAAGAGGATTGCAAGTTTGAGCCCAGATTGGGCAACTTAGTGACTTAATGAACCCCTGTCTTAAAATAAGAGGGCCAGGAATACAGCTCAGCGGCACAAGGAAGGCCTGGCAAGTGTAAGTTCCTGAGTTTGATTCCTGGTACCAAAAAAAAAAGAGAGAAACTTTTATAAAGGTATGGGGAATGCAGCTCAGTATGAAGGCTGTGGCTTCAATTCCCTGTACTGGAAAAAAAATCCCTCAGTGAAATGAGGCATAAAACCAAAAATTAATGAACAGGCAGCTTCAAGATCAGCTGGGAGGACAGCTCATGCATGAACCGGCTCGCAGGCCGACTCTGCTCGGACATGGCCCTAGGGTGACCCAGTGTGGACGCATGAAAATACACTCTATAACGCTGGTGTGGGGCTCCGAATTACAAGTGTGTGATACACACAAGATTGTGGACCCGAACAGAATTTATTCTTGTGAAAATTGACTAATGCCAAATCTTGAGATTTCCAAACAGACTGCCTTGGTATCAGAAAACCACTATAAATCATATATTCCTACTTTCAATCACAAAATACAGTGTAGTTGGGAGTTTTGTTTTGGATACGGTTTGCACCGTGCTGGACTAGAGTTAGTTCCTAAGAGCAAACTCTTCAGTTTCAGAACTCACTGTGTGTCATAAGTTAGTAATTTCAGACCATCAGCGTGTCCCCCGGCACGGGGTGACCTCACCCTCCAGGCTGAGCGTCCGACTCCAGTGAAATGAAGGCGGGAAGAGGCAGGGAGGGTACACAAGTACATGAGGTCTGACACTACTCCTCGGCTTTGGGGGGATTAAATGTTTTGCATTTTTTGCATTTTAATGGACGGCAAACAACAAGGAATATAGATAGAAAAGCAAATTATACTTTTAAAGCAATTCTGAATTTCCCGGTCGCCTCCCCTGCCAGACTGTCAGTTTTCTTTATGTGACAGCCACATACACTGCCGGATGGGCAGCATGGACACAGCCCGTAAGCCCACACTTTCTGGCCCTTTAGCTTTTCTCACTGAGGATGGAGGGAGCACGAAACAAGAAACTGGGGTGGGGGGGAATCCTATTAGCAGTATTGAAGAAAATGGACAACGGTAGCTACCCTTACTTGCAAGGGTATTATAACTTACCCGGGACATTTTATATATTTTCAAAGCCTTCTGCTGTCATTAACCAGGGTCAACATTTCATTAGATGAATAAAGAGTATGTCATACACACAAAATGCTAGGACATGTATTTAGCATGTCTGCTTTTAGTAACTCCATGAAAAGATCTGTAGAGCATATTCATCACTTCAATTTTTTTATTAGGATTTCTTGGAATGAGAAAAAAGGTGTTTTCATCTATTTATCACAACTGTGGCCATTCCTGCTTTTAATCTCAATTACAAGCTAATTCATTATCAAGTTTCTAGTTAGTAGATACCTCAAATTTCTCTAAAAATATGAGGCACGATGTTATTCGTATAAATAATCATCAGAGTCTCTAATATCTAGAAATATAGTGATTCAGGAGATGTTATCTCATATTAAACCATTTCAAACTGCTTGCTAGCAGTTACAGTTTATTAATTCTGAGAGTACTCTGATATCTCAGAACTTGTACAGGTACTACGAAGTATTTGTTTTCTTAGGAGTAAACTATTGGAAAACTTGAATGGGAATGATGCCCTCATTAATACACTGGTTTTAAATTTATCCTACAAAAAGGGTTAGGTGTACAGGAGAATAAATCTAGATTTTATTGATAAAAATATAAATTTAAAAAACCCAAGCAGCTACTCAAGATTACACACATGTGTGATGAAGACTCAAGTATGAAAAAATAAAGGTAAAACTTCCTCCTTCTCAACCCTTTACTGCATGCCCCACCTGGAGGTGATTACTGCTAAGGCCTTTCATGCTCCCTACAAGTTTTCCATGCAGCTATGTATACGCAACTTTTAAAAACCATACGTGACAGACACTCTTTTGCAACCCAATTTTCACAAGAGCTGAGCCCTACTTCTATGGCTCTTCAGTGACGGGTTTCCTCATTTCCTTACGAACAGGTATTTAGGGCCCTTCTAGTTCTCGGCTCCCTCGAGCCGTATTATAGATGAGCTCTCACGTGCACACACACATGCATATTTTTTCCTCCAATACATATGGTGAGTAAATTTCTCCAAGTAAAATGAAAGGTCAAACAGCAAGTATATTTTACATTTTAATAAATACTACAAACTGCCCTCTTAACGGTTTCCAACAATCTATCCTTCTGTCAATTGGGCTCATATTTGCCAGTGAAATTTATTATTAAACTTGTTCAATTTTTTAAGTCTTTGCTAATAATCCAAATAGGTCAAAAATGATCTATCTTCTTTCCCTCTCTCCCTTCCTTCTTTTCTTTCTTCCTTTTCCCTTTTATTTCTTTGTGATGCTAGAGTTTTCGGTCTTTTTCTTCCTTTTTCTTTGTTCTTTTTTTTTATTTTAAAGAGAAAAGAAAACAAAATCACAACCAAGACAAAAACAAAGCAATAAAAACGATACAGAACTCAAAACAAGGTGATAGGAAGTTAACAACGGTTGTTATATTACATATTGTTATCTTCCATGAAGTTGCTCAGATTACCAGATGCATGAATGCAAGACCGATCAACGAAAGAGAATAAAAAATAATAAAAAAAAATTAGAAATGATACAGAGTTTCACTAATCAAGACTGTAGGGATTCAACACTGGTTGAATTGCACATTGTTGTCTTCAAATTAGTTGCTCGGATTACCAGATATCGTCCCTATCTTACTACTACGCTCTTTCTTTTCCTTACTGGCTGGAGACTAAACCCAGGGCTTCCAGCACGCAAGGAAAGTGCTCTAGAACTGAGCCCTAACCGCAGGCCAGAACATTTCTTTCTAATTCGCATTTAATCATCAGCTGTCTTAACTTGCTCAATACTTATTAGCTACTTTTATTTCAATTTTTGAGAAGCTCATGGAATTTTTCTTGGTCCATTAGGAAACAGGAAATATACATTTCTTTACTTATCTTCAAGGACCAAGAAAAGAGGTTGTCTCCAAACAGTAATTGTTATTCCATTTTTTTAAAGCTATCACGTGGCTACTACTTTTAGGCTGGTTTTTATATGTCTGTGGCAGTTAGTTTTTTTTTTTTTTCCTGGTATCGGGAATCGAACCCACGACCTTGCACTTGCCAGACGGGTGCTGTGCTGCTGAGCTAAATCCCCAGCCCCTGGCAGTTAGGTTTAATATGATATTAAGTTTGGAACTTCTAATGATTAACAACTGGCCCATCACTGAAGACACATTTCACATCTCCGTAGAGGCAGGGGAGCTGGTCAGGTGTCAAGAGTCATTTTAACTTCTCAGCTGTAATGACAGAACATGGTTACTGCCAGAGCTGGACCAAGGCACCTAATCACACTTGAGCTTGAAATCTGCCTTTCACAAGATGATTCACCTGGGCTGCTTGGATGTGGTTATAACCCGCTCTCCGAAAATCTTCACCTTATGTAAGAAAATAATCTGAAAGAACTTACTTCGGATCTGTTTTTTAATTTCCTTAGCAGGGTCCAGCCAATTCTGAAAAGGAAATGACATTTTGAATTTGAATCAGAGAAGAATAAAAATGGCTTAATGATGACAATCCGGTAGGCCCTAAAGGCGATCTTGGGAGGTCCCCCGCCTGGTCCTCCCCCGCTGGTGGCTCACAGCCAGGCCCTGCCCGGTGGAGAAGGGGCCCCACAGACAATTCCTGCCTCCACTCCTTCTCTCTCTTTTTTTTTACGACCACTGCCTCAGGGATTTGAGCTACTCTGGCAGCAGAAGGGAAATGCTAGAAGCCTCTGTGTTCAAATAAATGACCAGAATAAAGATTCATGCAACTGCACACACGGTTTTAGCCACTCCTTTAGATGGGATTGATGTCTGTGATCACAGATTGAGAAGCATCTATCTGAGAATTTCCTAATGAATGGAATGTTTGCTTGAGTTTTGATATTTTCCCAGGTGGAGAAATGAGATGTATAATACGACACCAGACACTGCCCAGTAACCTCATTAGCTATACTCAGAGCACAACACCAAAACAAGTAACATCTGTAAACAAAACTTCCACAACTCAGTGTTTCGCATCAATACAATGGACACAATTCCTCTTCGTTATTTTCGCAGGTGGCTGCAGGGTGAGCTCCGAATAGAAAGCAGGTTCGGGCGTCAGGGTCTACGGCGGTATGGCTTTCCACACAAACACCTACAGAAGGCTCTGGACAGGTATGAGGCTGGCAGACGCCAACCAGACTGGTGAGGAGGAGAAAATATGAGATGAATAAGACTAGGACACGGCCCCAACAGTCAGCAGCCCTGAGGGCTGCAGCATCCTCATGGAGTTTTGGGGTATGAGTATGTTTTTCTACATTCAAGTGTTCGATTTTCATATAATCCACTGAAATCTATGATCCACGGGAGCGCGCGCGCGCACACACACACACACACACACACACACACACACACACATGCTTTCCTGGACCCATAAAAACCCAAGAGCTGACTCGCTGTTTCCAAAATATTCAAGACCCGAGGGTGCTGTCAAGGATGCCGTTCCGGGAGCGACTGTAGCCCCAGAGTGGTGTGACGGGCGAGGGGGCAGCGGCACGCCTGCCCCCGCGGTGTGCGCGCACCTCCCACGCGGGCCTCGCGCTCTCACCTTCTGGTTCTCGGCGTCGCGATAGGTGAGGCCGAAGTAGTCCTTCTCCAGCAGGTTCAGGTGCTCGCACACTTTGTCGAACAGCACTTGCCCTCTGGAGCGTTTCTAAGGAAACAGGAGGAAGAACAGAGAGTCACCGCGGCGAGGAGAAGTCTCCCGGTCGCCAGGGACAGGCCGGGGAGAACTCACACCAGTGTTGGCTGCGGCAGTTCAGCGAGCGACAAGCGCCAGTCACGCCCTCACCTCACAGTTAGCACAATGGCCCAAACACGGGGCCCCCAGGCCGCAAGAGCCCAGCCCTGCACCAGCCAGTGTCACCAGAGGTCAGCAGCGCCTCTGCGCTGAGCCGGTGATGCGGGAGACTCCCGAACAAAGACGGCCGGGAAACAATGCGATGCTCGGGAGCCTCAGCTCTTGTGAAACAGAAAAATCCTGGGGCCAAGGATATAGCTCAGTGGCATAAGTGCCTCCTGGCAAACGCAGGTCCTGAGTTCGGTTCCCGGTACCAAAGAAAAGAAAAATCCTGATACCAGAAAGTGATCATGAAGGGTCACAGCCATGTTTCAGGACACCCTGACTCAGCTCCCCAAGCTGTAAGATTCTGAGCCCGAGAAAAGGAGTGCCTGGTCTCATCTCGGGCAGACCCTCCCTCACAACTTTCCATGCCAGGCCTAACCCGGCAACTCCAAGGGTCATTTTCTAAAACCCACTAAACTAACTTTGGCTGGTTACTGTTGGTTTTGATGTGGATTTCAGTCCCATATTATGGTTTCCAAGTTTCTCTTAATTTCTCTGAGAACAAATAATTTTCTCCCCAGAGTCTTCTCCAGCCCTTTCTGTTTTTGTTCTAATTTTGAGACAAAGCCTTCCTGAGTCACTGAGTTGCCAAGGATGGGCTTGAGCCGGCACTCTTCCTGCCTCAGCCTCTCAGAATGTGCCAGAACAAATACTTCTTATTAAACATAACAAACATTAAGTTTAATGATTTTAATTATACTGCAGACATAAAACACAGATGCATCTGCTATATTTTGGAACACCCAAGCAGTCACCCAGAGAAAGGGAAAAAGGTACTCATCTGGGGAAAAAATCCATCAGCTTCGATTATTTTGATACACGTTACCACAGTTTCAAGCAATGCTTCAGAGTTCTTTAAACATGGCTTTGAAGTCTGCCGTGGATTAACGGGCAACCATCAAGCTAGATTACTTTTTTGTTTGGCTGGCACTAATACTTCATGTCCAATACATTAAGCATATTTGTCTTTAAGATTTAATGTATTAACAATGAGGTATATGAAAACTGACAAACTATGCCCGGACCAAAATAAACACTCAGAAGAGTTTCGGGAGGTGGGAGTTGCTGTGCTACTGTAATTATGCTGAGGCTTAATGACTCAGCCTTCTCCGGCATGATTGTTTAGGAAACAAAGGTAAATTTATGATAGCAAAGTAAAGTTGAAATTGTAGCCGGCTAAATAATCAATGATGTGCTTGCAAAAAATCATTCCAGAAGTACGAAAGTAAATTACTTTTTAGCAAATCCACAGCACATTGCTCACTGCCTGTGAATAAATGGCGCAACAGTGCAATGCTACTTGTTGGGTTAGATATTACTAAATAACTGCGAATTATTTCTACATAATGGTTGGCAAGTCATAAAGTGTGCACGAGCTATTGGCTCTGCCAGTGCTTCTGTCTGCGGTGTTATCTGTAGTTTACAGTTAACAGCGGAGGTGAGGAGAAGTAGGGTGAGGGGTAGTGTACTCGGTCGGGGCTTCAGAATCAGATGAAACCTGGGCTTGGTCTTCCGCGTGTCTCTGGCGGCTCTGAGGAGCTCTGTTCTTCTCTGTGCAATGGGCATGACATCACCTACCTCGGTGGAATAGCTGGCGTTAAAATAACGTATTCAGCCTTGGCCCTCCAGTGGCGCACATCACACGAGTCATGAACGTCAGCCATTATTAGAGCCCAGTGGCTGGAAAATGGCGGAACAACTAAGCCAGAGTGTGGCGGTATGCAGCAGGGATAGAGCTCCTGCTTTGCCAGGAATCAGTGTTAGAATTAACATGCCTTGTTTTTCTTTATACCCAACGGCCTTTTTACTATCTAACTGCTTTAGCTAGATAGCGCGCACACACACACACACACACACACACACACACACACACACATAAAGTGACTCTCCAAGTACTGTCTCAGTGAATAAGCAAAGGCAGACTAGAGCCAGCCTCCATCAGAGAATCCCTTCTGCACATGCACCATTGTTCCAAAGAGCCATCTTGGGGCGTGCACTTTTGTTAAGAAAATCACCTACTGGTCCATTCCTCACACTGGAGACATTTCTCCTGGGCTCAAGGGCACAGGCCAGTTGTCTAAATCTACTGCAGATGGTTATATGGACTGGAAACAATGATATTCTCACCTGTTAAATATCAACACAGCTGGCAGGGTGATTTCAGAAAAGGTCACGACGTCATTTTGGTCTCCATTCCCTCGGCTTTGAAGAAGGATGTGAGGTTAGGGAGCAAGGTGAGTATGTGCTGAGGCTCTAACTGTGCACCTCCTTTGGTGGATGACAGACTACTAAGGGGTCACAGCGTTTCTGGCCATCTGGGGCTTTGCTGACCCCTTCTGCACATCTGGATATCGAAGATGCTTTTAATGGATGGGGTTGGGATACGACTTGATCCTATTTTTTCAGCCTTGGACCGAATCCCGTCCTTGAATCCCTTCTGACTTTAAAACAATTCTTGATTCTTCTAACTCGGATGATTTTTTCCTAGCACATCACTCAAGTTTTCAAGCCAACTACTCCTACTTGTCATCTACGTGCACCTGTAGGTAATAACTCATGACCGAAGCTCTACAGTCAGACTGGAAATTGTGGATAAAGTACACTAAATGTAGGGTCCTCAAAGACATGCTGTTCATTATGTGATCAAATCCTACTGTCACTGGATATAGGGACAGATAGCATTGTGAGTCGGAACTTACTTGAGTAGCTTTTAAAAACATTCACAGGGGTACTCCAAATAAATGGAGGAATGGAGGAACCTAACCATCTAAGGTTAGGAGTTTTCAGTTTCCCGCATTCTTGCATGCTGTTAAGTCCTCTTTGGCTCAAGGGCATTCCCAGTTCACACACACCCCTTTCTAGGACAGGGACCAGAAAAGTGGACTTTAATTCCCTAGAGTGATTAGTCAGTGGTGGTTTTTCTTCTTCCTGGAATTTTTCTCTCTTGTCATTTACATTTCTGTTTCTGATAGAGTAAATGGGGACATTGTAGCCAACAATCTGAAGGTTTTGATCCTAAAAATGGCACATCCCCAAGCAATGTAAACAAGTTTCCTTCTTAACTATTTGGATTTTTTCTTTAATTAAAAAATTTCCAAATTGACAGTAAAATTGGATGTTAGGAGAATGGATGAATAATGAAAACAAAAATACCACACAATGACAGAAAATATTTCCAAAACACACATCTGACAAAGGATGAGTATCCAAAAAACTTAAAATTCAATAAAAAAACCATTTTTAAAAAAGGATAATAGCCTAACTGATGTCTTACCAAACAAGATATATAAATGGCAAATAAGTAGATGAAAAGCCGCTCAGCAGTGTGTGTCATCAGGGAATTGCCAATTACAACAAGCACGCGATAGCACCACACACACTTTACAACGGGTAAAATCTAGGCACTGACAGTGTCAAACGCCAACAAGGATAAGGGGCAGCAAGAACTCTCCTTCACTGCTGGTGGGAATCCAAGATGGCGCCACCACCTTGGAAGCCAGTTTTGTGGCTTCTTACAAAACTAAACATGATTCTGCAGTCATGTTCCCTGATGTTTACTTAAACGAGCCGAAAACTGATGTCTACACAGAAACTTGTACCTAAATGTTCATTGCAGCTTTATTTATAAACTGCTAAAACTTGGGAGCTATCAAAATGTTCTTCCAAAGATGAACGGAGTCATGAACTGGGGCATCCAGACAATGGAATATTATTCAGCAATATAAAGAACTGGGGAGGAGAGGTAATGAATGGCAAAAATGATCAAAGTATGTTATACACGTGCATGAATATGCCAAGATGAATCTATTCCTCTGTATAATATGCACTAATTAAAAAGAAATGAACTGTCAAGTCACAAAGAGACATTAAAGAACCTTAATTGCATACTGCGAGGCAAAAGACACCAATATGAAAAGCCTTCAGATACACGATTCCAACAATCTGGCACTCTGGAAAAGGCAAAATTGCAGCAAGAGTACAAGGATGCACTGTTGTCAGCGCCTGGGAGACAGGGGCTGGGAGACAGGGACCTGGGGAAGTTTTAGGGCTATGGAACTGCTCTGCTGGGTCCTGTCACGGGATCAGGCCTTCCGTTACACACAGACTGTGCCTGACATCTTATATTTGTCAAACCCAATAGAACATACAACACCGACAGTGAACTCTAACGTGTTTTAGTTACTTTGTTAATGATAACATGTTAACATTGGCTCCTCAGTTACCACAAAGGCCCCATACTAGTGTAAAATGTGAAAAATAAAGGAAACTGGGGTGGGGAAGACAGAGGTGTTCAGAACTCTGCACCTTCTGCTCAGCTTTCTGTAAAAATGCAAGAAAATGCACATAGAAGAGGAAAAAAGATAAAACAGGGTGGGGGAGACACTGGGCAAAAAAGCGTAAAATTTCTAATTTTAAATGATAAGACAATGTGTTAAATATCCCAAAAGGTTAGTAAAAAGTTGAACTGGACTGACATCAAGAGTAAACAAAACTTGAGCAAGCACAAGCTTGAACTATTTTCCCCTGATACACCAGAAGTTAACCTGGGCGTTTTCCCTTTACCTTGACTTTCCCATGACATCCACCTGTCCCGGATCAGGTCACCCGCCTGCAGAGTTTTCTCAGTGTCCCCTTGGCTGCCGCGTCTCCATGGTGCGAGGTAACAAACGCACCCCTAGTCGTGGCCCGTGTTTCCGGTACATCTGTAGTTACACCTGGAGAGTTGGTGAGGCTCTGGCTCATTTTCCAAAGTGACGCCGTGAGCTTCACCGGGAGGCACAAGGCGACCGCTGGCCTCTCTGTGACAT